AAAAAAAAAAGAAGAGGAAAGGCATGACAGATGGTGAAAGGTTGCACTCTTGCAACCCGACTGCAAACACATTCTATTCAAGATGCTAGTACTTAATCTGCTCATCTCTTGTATGTGTAAAACTGTCATTAAGCCCAGACTCAGAATTAGAGGCTGCAGGTAAACATCAGGCTGAGTCAATGGAGCTAAATACTTAGTGTGTGCACCCTTGATGACAAGCAGGATTCTACCAGAGGTACCCTATAACAAAAGGAAAGGAGGGGCTATTTGAAAGGAAACTCTCCTCTGTCCCACCCAGTCAATAAAGTCGTAGGTGCATCAAGTCTTGCAGCTGGAAGGAATTCACCTCTCTAATGAACAGGACACTAACCCTGCTGTTAATAGCTATTCCATGGCTTTCTTCTCTCTTTGAGGCAGAAATCCTCATCCATATGTTAAACAGAATTTTAATAGAAATTAATTACTACATACTCAGCTTTTTTTTTTTTAATGTCAAGACAACATATTTTATTGAATTTAATCATTACATTATCAAAGCTAAGTTGGTGCTAACCATGCATAATCAAGTTGTCAATATGTGAAGTGTGAAATATTGAGCACGAGTTGTTCAAATCAACCTATGTGGGTTTTGCCCCACTAGATATCAACACTAGTCTTTCGCTGTCTTTTTACTCTCTTGTGTCAAGAAGTTACAGGCGCGGATGACCAGATCTTTAAATTGTTTGTATGACCACGTTCCTATAAAAGCTAGACAAATTAGATTCAGTCCACTGCAAGGTTTGGTTGAAAGTCTTGATTAACTTTTATTAATTTTCACTTTTCTGCTATTTTTAATCAGATTATTGATAACGAGGCACGAAATCTGTCCTGCCCCCTACTCCCTTCCTGAACATCTGCTATTTCAAATAAAAGTGAATTCATCACATAATTTCCCAGCAGTAAAGCAGTTAACTCTTATGACCCAAAAGAGACTAATTCAAGCAGGTAAACCTCTCATGCCTGCACTGATTGGCCCCTAGGCAACATGAAGCGTTTAAACTGAATTGACCAAAACTTATTGAAAAGATTGGATAAACTGAAAATCCACCTAATTAAAGAACAAATTTCAGAAGTAACATATCTCAACTGAAGGAGTGCACTTACGGCCCAGGAAATATAAAGCAAAACAAAATTTTCATTTTTCATTAAAAATTGGAATACAAGATCTATATTTAAACAACTTTATTAACATAGTCAAGCAGTGATTAACATTCACATCTATTATGTCACATCATACAAACGTAAATACAAAATTACTACAGTACAATATATATTCTCTGCATGATCCAAAATATTTGGTGGCCCCAAAAACTCTTTAAAATTCAGCAGCTTATCAAAAATTAAAACCATATTCTATTCAAAATGAAGTTTTGTTAGCACAGAGGCAGACTTCAAGAAAGATCACTCAATTTAGCACAGTTTGAGAAGTTGCAGGATATGTTTGAAGGAAACATTCCAACATTGTGGCTGATACAGAAACATCAGATTTAAAGCTTTCAAGCAAAACATACAACCTAAGTTGTCAGCAGAAAGATCCAGTCATCTTTCACTTTAAACTGTTCATATACTGCATCCAATTTAAAATTTTGGAAGTGTTTGGTATTAGTAAGTCAGACAGCATACAACATACCTACCTATCTACTCCCATGAAAAAAAGATAATATTACACTAAAGACTTCACCAGCCAAATATACCTAGTCATACTAATATTTTTAAATATCCCCATAAAAAAATCACCCAGGCCTTCTCTGTTTTGTTTCTCACCTAACGTAAGTAAAGAGATACCTAAGGTGAAAGTAGCACAATAGAATTGATTATAGAAAAACGATACTATAAGTGCTGAATTCTTAGAGATGTGGATTTGGCTTACTTAAAAAGTATACTGTAACACCACAAAGGGATACATATTTTTTATAGAGCCATTTTAAATTCCCTCACATACATACATTCAAGTGAGTAAGCATCCTTATTATTTTAACAGAATATACTCCATAAGGCAAGCAACAAGAGTACTCACCTCAGAGTTTCCCCATTTAAAATAATCTAAAACTGGCTTGCTCCAACCGTAAGTGCAAAGAACAAGCATCAGTGACAGACAAAAAACAGCTTCTATTGGAGAAGAACACCTACTAGACTGATGGATGCAAGTCATCTGGAGAATGCATAGGTGAGTGCAATACATAGCTACTGATCAAGCTTCATTTACTCAAGATGAGGTTACTGGAAATACTTATGTAATAGATAACAAATACGTATGCAAATTACATCAGCATCTATGTGAGATAACTGCAAACTTTTTATTTTTCTTACTTTTTAATTTATGGCAGTCATTTCACTGCTGAGCTTAACCTTTATCTGAGATAAAAAGTTACTCTTCAGACCCTACGTAGAAGCTTTATGCATCTATTATCCCCATGAAAGTACTGAAGCAATTAGTGTTAAGTTGCAAGTTCTTTCCTTGACAAAATCTGAAACAAAAGATTTCCAATACAATGTTGCATTTAAAGCTTTTTCTTTTTTTTTTTTTTTAAGAAATATTTCAGTTGTTCGAATATGGATGCATTCTCCTCAAGGGAAGAATGTTTTTGCACCTTTATTTGTTAATACATTCAATATGAATAAAATAGGTGAAGCAAAAGTCATTATTGTCCCACAGTAGAAGGTTAATTTAGAGTAAGTTTAAGACAGAGAAGCTGCCTACCATGAAATACATGAACTGATATAATTAAGACACATTTTTATAAGCATGTGTTCTGAACAAAAAGGGTACAAGAGTATTCACCTGAGATAAAGCTAGTATTTGAGTGTTCCTAAGTAGCAATGAGTTTCGCTTGAGGAAAGCCACTTGAAGTTTTAAAATATACATTTTACTATTATACAATATATGCAGTTTAATTAAGATTGATGCTAACATAAAAGTCCTAACAAAAAACAACAACAACAAAAAAATCACAGTGTATCAATATTGTTAGTTACAAAATTTATGCTACTTTGTAACTTTAAAAAATTATGATTATAAATTTTAAACCCATTCTCCTAGAAGTGTATCTTCTGAGTACAAGCATTAACGAGCAATAAACTAAAGCATAAGAATTAGCTCATTACAATTTAACTATATACATATTCCTCGATTTAGAAAATAATCAAGCTTTGGAAAAAAAATTACAAAATCGATTATTTTTGCTTGCACCGGTTAAAATAATGAACTATTATAATCTTTCTTTTTTTCCTAAATGAAAAGAGCAGTTTCCTGAATATGTAATGAAACAAATTTAGAATTGAACTTTACTTAAGAATAATATCAATTTAGAACTGCCAAAACGATGCTTTTGTAAGGATTTTAAATATACTTTCTGTTACCAACTTAGGTTGATCAGCAGCTTTTGTTCATTCTTAGAATCCTTCAAAAAGGGAAACTCAAAACAGGAGAAAGGCATATATAAAAACAGTAAACACTGACCTCCTGAGGTTTCTACAACAAAAATATTCAAGTAGAAAATCTACACCATTACTTAGCAGCGGCTATTTCTGTAGTTTAGCACACTAACAGCACTTTATTCAGTGTGTAAGGAGCAAATGCAGTAAGCCGTGCTTTTAGCATGCCAAGAGGCAGAAAACACTGGAATGTAACAAAGACAGACTCACAATTCTACCAGTATAAACATTCAGTCAACATTCAAGAACTGTCAAGACTACACCACAAGAATTAAGATGCTGTTTATATATCCCATGATGCAATAATGGAATTGTTAATGCAGATTTGGAACTTTTCTTACCTCCCATTATACTTTAAATGGCTTCTGCAAATTCCTGCACTATATTATGCATAAGGAACACGGTTTATTTGCTTTTAAACATACCATGAAAAAACATACTGATACAAAAGGCTACTTTGCCAGTAATGTTAATTCCTGCCTTATTTTAATTACTCTACTTGCTGTTCTGCCAGATCAGCTCACATCTGTACAAATACCTATTAAAATATGTATGTACAAAAGTGGTATTCTACATGAATTTGAGATGAGGTGGTTTTATTTGGTTAAAGGGGCTTTCTTAAATTTAATGTTTAACTAAACTCAGATTCTAGTCCTAACGCTATATATTACTTAGCTGTTTTTTATTTTATGAAATTTTTAATGTCATTTCTCTGAAATTCGTACCTAATGCTTAAACACACTCAAAATTAAAGCAAGTTTGGATCGAAGATAATATCCCATCTTGCTAAATTATTCTTCTAGAACCGGGTTTTTAATTGTTTTCAGTGACTAAAACTATTTCTAATTTACTTCAGTTATTAGTTCAGAAGAAATTTAGTACTTGCTAAAAAGCAATGTAAATTGAAAGCAATTTATCACATGCAATTTTGCAAAAAATAACTATGTACTAGCATCATTGAATGTACTTCATACAGTACATGTCCAAACTTCAGGCGTAAGAAGAACAAAGTGGGGAGTGGAGGTGCATGTAAAATGTTCATGCTATCATGCATTTAAAAAAAAAAATTCCTCTCTAAACATAATTAAGTTCACACTCACACAGCTTGAGCTTCAGTGCAATAGCTAAATCATCCAGCACTCAGAGAATAGAACCATGCAAAGAAGAGCAATTTTTAAAAAAGAACAACAACAAAAAAAACAACAACAACAAAAAAAAAAAAAACAAAACCTGTTATCCAGTATCCATTCTGCAATGCAAAGGTGAGAAACTAAATCTATAAAAGGCTGTTATGGCTTAATTTTGTTTTGCGGATTAATTATGCAGCACTTGAAAAATGGAAAGGTGTGGCTTCACCTCTGACCAGCAGAGTTAAAAATCTCTCCATTTTCCTTTATCATCATGGGATACTCTTTAGGCAATCTAAATTAATAAAGACTTGCCACTTTCAGATGGACACAAGATCAAGTGTACCAGTTAGAATTTCACATTCACAGTACATAAGAAAATACACATGGAAGGAAAAGTAAAGGGTTAACTTAACAAGGATTTATTCACAGGAATACATGTAAGTAGAGAAAAAAAAACAACAGAAAAGCTAAACAAATGAAATGAAGAGGATCCAAACCAACTTTCACTCTGTAGCTTTAAACTTGCACCCTTGTGCATTTAACTACATCACAAAGGGCCACCAACATGCGCCGATACAGTGTAGATACCCTGCATTATTACATCCATTAACTTAAACATCTCATTAAGATCATGCTTTGAACAAAAAGAAAGCATAGAAGATAATATGTTGAGTGGGAATAAACACAAATATAGCAATCATGTCATCAACTTCTACAACTGTCTTTACGTGCCAACTAACATTTATGCAGCCTTTAACAGGTCTTACCATGTAACTCATTTTCAGAGATTCTGATAAAATCACTAGTATATAACCATGCAGAAAGCACATCACACTGACAGCACAGAGGCAAGTATTTTGCACAGCTATATCAGCTTTCCACATTGTGCAGGTTACACACAATACAATATCAATCTTATTCTTAACAGATCCTAAAAGGTATTTCAAGGCCTAATTGTTAACTACAGTACTTTATATCTATATTCTTAATAAAAACAAAATCCACAGAATCTTAGAAAAGGAACTTTAAATGCAGGGCTATACTGAATTGGTAAACTGCAACACAAAACTGGCGCAACATAGGTAAATGTATACCAATTTCACTCTATGTGATGCAAGCATGCTACTTCCCCACTAATTTAAATTACTTCTGATCACTATGAGCCAGAACGCATGCCTGAACCTTAAACTGCACGTTAAGAATAATGCCTTACTCTAGAAATTAAATCTAATGAAGTACAATAATCAAATCATATCCACTACCTTAAATTCTTCTTAACGTAAAAATTAAGATGTCAATCTCTCCTTTGAAGCGTCCCTCCCTTTACCCCAAAAATGAAAGGAGTGACTCATTTGGCAGCTTGCAGGTTGCTTCACTGTGCCTAAGTTAACCCTAATTAATTGGTGTTTCTATATCATATACTGCAAGTGCCTGTTCCTAATGCAGACACAAGCTGCATTTTTAACTGTACTAACTTCATTTGTGTAGTTCTTCATTAACATGCAAATTCCTAGGAATCCCATCAAGCAGGATGAAATAATGTAGAAAATTCTTACTAAAAAAAAAAAAAAAAGAAAAAAAGAAAAAAAAGCCTTTTACTGTTTGTGACCCCCATTCTTAGGTTTCCTTTATTGTGCGCAAAATAGTTTTCCTCTTTACGTATCCCTATGGTTCAATTATATGGTTCTTATTTTGGTACAAATCCCCACAATATTCCAGAATGTGCTGTTTTGTGAAAAGATTCTTTTTTTTCTTCTTCACATCCAGTGCAGAGTTGTAATAGGAGACAGATTTCCACCCACAAAGGCTCCAGATGTTAAAACATTTCCCAACATCGACTTAATACAGTGACGGCAACACCTCCCTCCCGCCCCTCCCAGTAGGGTTGGGATTGTACTGTATTCCCTACTGGTTTACCCTTCCCCCCAGTAAAGGGTAACATTTTCCCTGGGTGCAGAGGCTCCCTCATAGTCTCCCAGACTGAAGGACCTGTAAAGGGAAAGAGAAAGGTGTAGTCAAACAGTACTTTGAAATGTGAATGACCGATCTGTGTATAAAAAAAGTTGTTGTTTTTTTTTTCTTCCTCTTTTTTAAGCAGTAGGTGCAATCTAAGCTTAAAAGTGAATTTGTACCTAGATGTTCCTTTTATGAGTCTGCTTAAACAAAGAGTTGATTTTTAACAGGAAGACTATTATTCCTTACAACAACGTATACTTTAAAGCTACAATGACATTTCCAATATTGCATCTAAGCTTAGATTTAAGATGAAAACAGCTGCATGTACTTTAAAAAGACTCTGCCCTTTCAGTACAAAATTATGAGGCAGTCATGATGTTTATGAGGCAGTCATGATGTTCAGGAAATATTAAACTTACCTTCTACTAACATAACAACTTCACTTTTAGGTAGATTCAACAAGATAGCCATATTGCCTCCTCAACAGAAATGGAGAGTAACAGGTTTTTTTTTTTTTTTTTCTATTTGGCATTATATTTAAAAGAGGAAGAAAAAGAATCAACCATGTATCAAAACTGAAATGCCCTCACTGATTACTGTGTTTGAAGTTTGCTTATTTTCCATCAATTGTTCAGATGAAACATGCAATTCAAAGAGAATTTATTATGCCACCAACTCTGAAAAACATTAGCCTGAGTTTTAAATGGGTGTTCATTTAACAATACAACTGAATTATGTGATACACTCCTACATTTCCGCGCAAATATTCTAGAGCAATTTACCACATTTATACTCAATGAACAAACTTAACCTGCCTTCTTTTTTGGGTATTATAATAAATTCTTCACAGCATCACACTACTTTATACACAGGTGCTTTGTTTATACGGTATGCACAGAAAGTATATAAAGCAAAGTGGTACACTACAGTCATTCTAGAATCCCGTCACTGTTGTATGATTGAGTTGAAGTATTCTCTGACAGAATGGTAACCACTGTGTATTGGTGCATAAAGTGGAATGTCACAATAATAAACACATCAGCCTTCTCAAAACATCAACCTCTACAAACAGCAGAGCTGAAGAATACTGTAATATCCTTGACTAAGTGCCAAAACCATCTAACATGTACATAGGAATGTACTGGGTTTCACATAGATAAAGCATTTTAAACTTATTTTCTTGTCCTAGAGAAATATTCACCTTGTGTTACATCTGTTATCCCCTAACCCATAAGACACACATGGAGCCTGTGTCTAGCATGCTGCCTGCAGAACACACTTATTACTTGGCTTATTAAACCTGAACAGATACAGTTACATCTAGTCTTCTAACTTTCATACATGACCAAGCATACTGTATAGACTTTCATAGAGAGACAATTACTTTTGCTACAGCTACCAGGATTTTGGGTCAACATTACCCCTTTTTTTTTTCACAGAAGTAAAGATACCTGACAAACCTCATCTCAAAATTTTAATCTAGTCCACTAATATTTTCATAAGGCAGAGATAGGAAAAAAGTACACAACATTTTGCAAGGAAGATTCATGTGCTTACCTCTAATCATGGGACTGCAGCTACAATGCACGCGGTTAAACTCCATAGTAAGCTGCAAGGCGCTCTTTTAAGGGAAGAGGAAACTGGTCTGAGAAACGCCTCCAATTCTCATCCCCAACTTGATTTTTAAACCCATGAAGAATCTAAAAGCAATGAGCGGTAAGTAAAAGAGATCAATAAACAGAAGATACAAGATCATCATTCACAAGCAACATGTCAATCAAGCGTTCAATCCTCCAGATTGCTCAGTTGTATAGCTCAACTGTCCCATTTACTAGATATCCTGTAACATTTAATGCCTCCCTTAAAAGAAAAGAATCAGTTATGTAACGTACAGAATATAGTTAGCAATTCAAATTAATATTTATTTACTAACATGACTTACAGGTTAGAGGTAGGCCATTTCACAATGCTAACTGTTTTGTCAAAGTACACATTTTCTGTTTATTATTACTGTATATATATTCCATTTGTAAATGTGTTACAGGTTCTGGAAGAAAAACCGAGTCAGAACCACAGCCGGTACTTCACAAGATTAATGCCTTTTAATTTCTAGCACAAACTAAAAACAATCCTATAAAAGCTGTGTTTTCCCATGGAACCTGTAAGACAACTGTAACTAAAACAGAAGTTGTTAAAATCTTTTATACTTTGAAACAGCAGGGATCTACCAGCAGTAAAAAAAGCCAGCATCACAGACAAGAAAACCTCCCCACCTATTGGTATCACTCTGGACCCTTCAACATAGTAACTTAACTGAAAACTATGAAAATAAAATGATTATATGAAAAGGGCCTTATTATTTATGCTCTGAAAACATTAGGTTAATAGGTGAACATAAAGAAGAACAAAAGTAGGTGCAAAAGTTCTTCCTCACAACAAAGCTACTAGAGTCTCAACTTTTTTTTTTTTTTTTTAAACTCAACTATACCTAATTGTGGAATGGCCTGTCATGAAAACGTTTTTACAAAAAAAGCACTGTAAAATTTAAAGCTCATAGCATAGAATTCACCCCCAATACATCATTTTCAAACAGAGCTGTCAGTGAACCAGATTTAACAGTAGAGACATCACAGTTAATTTAACTATTTTTCTCCATTAAGGAGCTCATCCAAAACCAGATTTCTTTCCTTACCCAAACAGATTAGCCAGCCACCAAAAGTACAAAAGAAATCTAAAAAATGACAAAATGAACATTTTTATAAAATAATAATAATTAAATCCTCTTCCAGTGTTGTTTTAGCAGATGAACTTCAGCTAGTGTCTTTAGATGTCTCGTCTTTAAAAAAAAAGATAAAATTTTTAGGAGTATGTGAGAAATCTCAACTCTGACAGCTGTCTTACCCATGTTCTTGGAACAGTTATTTCCTCTATCAGCTCTAATGCCAATAAAGAAAAAAATCACATAAAAAGACTTCAGGGGACTATGAAAAATGTTGGTTTTTTTTTTTTTCCCCCATAGTTCCTAAGTGGCACAATCTGTTATTCAGTTGGCAAAGCTTGATCCAGTCTAATGAGAAAGTAACCTAAAAAAAAATCATATGCCATCACTTGATGAAAGTTCTGACTCTGTTCTTGCATGGAGAAAGACAAAAGAATTCACTCTAAAAAGCCATGCACACCCTCATACGAAGTGGTCAAAATGTGTCTAGTTTGTGTCTAGTTTGGATGCATTAGATCCTGCATGAATATCTTGGAAAGAATCTGAGAGTTTAACTTACTGAGGCAAGTACTGAGGGCCATAGGACCAGTGCAGAAACATGTACTGAAAATGCTTACAACTGTCATCACAGTTTCAGCATCCTGGACTTACTTTTAAGCTTTTAATATCTGTTATTTCCTTCTGACACTAGAATACTCACCACTGCACATTTCCTGAACCCGATGTTTCTTTCTAGCTACTCAGAGAGCTAGTCTGCTAATTTATGAGGCAGAATTTTTTGGTTTTGCTCCTCAAGGTGGGATTTGAAGATTCCAGTTTATGTTCTGATGGTGCCATTATGAGTTACTTCAAGAGAAAACACAATACTGGCCTTTGACCCTAATACATTCTTAGAAATACACTCTATTTCAGCTTTAAGAGGAATTTCATTAACTTGGGATGTATATCCCTGCTCAAACAAAGATGTTTACTGAACAAGTAAAAGCATTTCTTCAACAAACTGAAATTAGGAATTTTATTTATTTTTCCTAACTTGGGACATGGAACAAATATGGTCAGTTTTTTGCTTGTTGCTTATTTTACACAATACAGTCACAGTTCTTTTGTTTAATCTCTATTGACAACTTGTCTAGGATGTATGTCCTATATTCAGAAATGTACGCTGGTTCCCTGAAGATCTGCTCATCCAAGATAGAAAACAAAGAGATCAGGATAGCACTGTAATATTTTTCATTTGCATTCTTCTGGACATTTCACAGAATCACAGAATTGTAGGGGTTGGAAGGGACCTCCAGAGATCATCGAGTCCAACCCCCTGCCAAAGCAGGTTCCCTACAGCAGGTCGCACAGGTAGGCATCCAGGCAGGTCTTGAACATCTCCAGAGAAGGAGACTCCACCACCTCCCTGGGCAGCCTGTTCCACTGCTCCGTCACCTCACTGTAAAGAAGTTCTTGCGCACATTTGTGCAGAACTTCCTGTGCTGCAGTTTCCGGCCGTTTCCCCTTGTCCTGTCTCCACTCACCACTGAAAACAGTCCGGCCTCGCCATTCTGCCCCCCACACCTTAGATATTTATAGACCTGGATCAGGTCCCCTCTCAGTCTTCTTTTCTCAAGGCTGAACAGACCCAGTTCACTCAGCCTTTCCTCATAGCAGAGATGCTCCAGGCCCTTCACCATCTTTGTGGCCCTCCGCTGGATTCTTTCCAAGAGATCCCTGTCTTTTTTGTACTGGGGAGCCCAGAACTGGATGCAGTACTCCAGATGAGTCCTCACCAGGGCAGAGTAGAGGGGGAGGATCACCTCCCTCGACCTGCTGGCCATGCTCTTTTTAATGCACCCCAGGATGCCACTGGCCACAAGGGCACACTGCTGGCTCATGGCCAACCTGTTGTCCACCAGGACACCCAGGTCCCACCCTGCAGATCTCCCCTCCAGCAGGTCATCCCCCAACCTGTACTGGTGCATGGAATTATTCCTCCCCAGATGCAAGACTCTACACTTGCTTTTGTTAAACCTCATCCGTTTTTTTTCTGCCCAGCTCTCCAGCCTGTCCAGGTCTTGCTGAATGGCAGCACAGCCTTCAGGCGTGTCAGCCAATCCTCCCAACTTTGTATCATCAGCAAACTTGCTGAGGGTGGCCACTATCCCCTCATGAAGGTCATTGATGAAGATGTTGAACAAGACCAGACCCAGCACTGACCCCTGAGGAACACCACTGGTTACAGGCCTCCAGCCAGACTCTGCACCGCCAGCATCGACCCTCTGCGCTCTGCCAGTCAGCCAGTTCTTAACCCATCTCACTGTCCACTCATCTCTCCCACACTTCCTCAGCTTTGTTATAAGGATGTCGTGGGAGACAGTATCAAAAGCCTTGCTGAAATCAAGGTAGACTACATCCACTGCTCTTCCCCCATCCACCCAGCCAGTGAAAACATCACAGAAGGCTACCAGGTTGGTGAAGCATGACCTCCCCCTGGTGAACTCATGCTGACTACTCCTGGTAACCTCCTTTTCTTTCAGTTGTATTTCTGTTAAATAAGTGGGGCTTCTTCATGGCAAAAGAAAAAATCTTGAACTATACAGATACCATTTTCTAAAGATGACCTAAATGTGGTATAACAAATCCTGTTTTCCAAAACGCAGTCAAAATGCTGTTGACTGAAATAACGAAAAGCTCTCTGAGGATGATTACTTTTTTGTTAACTAAAATCCTAAGTGAACTTTTCAACACCATTAAAAAGAAGTCTGCAGTAACTTGAATGGACTTAAGTAAATATAAGTAAAATAAAAAAACAATCTTCATATTGTTTTGATGTTTTGTCTGAAAGTTAATAACTTTGCAAAGAAGCTTCACAAATACAAGAAGTACTGACTAAAATACACAGCAAGAAAGAAACAGTAGATCCCAAACCATAATCAGGACATATTGATAAGATATGATAAGAGAAACATTACCTTACAGAACATGTCTCGAAGATCGTCTTTTGGGCTAATCCACGATGCAACAGCATCACAAAAAAAAATAAAGTCCTATAAGATTAAATAATCACATAGGTTAGAAACTCTAAGTTATAGGTCTAGAAACAATGCTCAACTCATTCTATTAACTGTACAAGACTTTTTGATCCTTATTCAAAAACTGATTTTATTTCCAGTTAATGCAGGCAATAACGGCAAACTATTCTACACCTAGATGTACAGAAATATAGAGTTGGGGCAACTCTGTTTGATGAGGTTTTTTTAATTAAAAAGCCAAACTCATACACACAACAGCATAAAAAGGCAAACTGAAACCACAACAGTTTTCCTCTCACATCATAACTAGCTAACTCAAATCCTTTCAGTCCAATCATAGAAATTCCGAAACAAACAATTTTAACATCAAGCAACAAATAAGACCATAAGACCAACTTTGTCTTATAAATTTCCAGCTGGAAAAGAAGCAGCTGTATTTCTTCAAGCAGAGTCAGAGTTTATTTTAGGGATGCACACGACATTCAAAACCAAAGCCATATCATAACCCTTGCAACATAGTTCACCTGAGGTTATGCACTACATTTCTTACTATATTGCTAAGATACCACCCCTCAATAATTGACAGCACATGTGTGTTTTGGTAAGAACCAAAGATAACTACTACAGAGGAGAGATGGGAAAATGAGAGGAGTTCTTAATTTTCTGCTCTCTTTATGTGTGAAAGAATAAATGGACAGCAGAAAAGAAGGGAAATGGCAAGTATAGAACAAGACAAGTGAAATCATCTGAAAAGTTCAGAACAAGAAATAGGCTCAATTTTTGTGTCTCAAAGATAGGGATTTCAGGCAGAGAAGGAAATTCATCTTTTTTTTTTCCTCTCATGAAATGTTACATCGGTATAGCTTAACTTGAGAGCTGTGGAGACTAAAGAGCAAGTAACATTCTGTTCTTGACACAAATCTAAAGAGCATCTTCCTAGTCATATTAAGAATTCAAGCAATATATCTGATGTTGAGACAGAATCTTCCCATCTCGAGTTTTAAGAACAAAGGGGTAGTTATCATTTTTGTTCTTTTACTTTTTTAAAGCCCAGATTACAGCTGAACGATAGGATTTAATCAGATTTTGCCTTATATTTTCATAGAGATCCTCCACACAAAACACTGACAAAAATATTACATCATTCACAATGTTAGTCAGAGTTCATTATTTAGATACACATTTTAAGTAGAAGACAAAAAAAAAAAAAAGACTTAACACCTCTTTTCCTCCTTTTCACTGAAGAACAAATTCAGAATTATCATGATACTTATCACTACAATGTAAACGTTTTGGTCTTCTTGGCCTTAAAATAAAGCCATATTGTGTTCCGCACTGAATCAGCATCAACCTAAACCTCCTAGTATTTCATACACATTTTAAAATACATTTTATGCAAATAAATGAAAAAAATCAGATCTATTCATGCATCTTACTTGGAATACGCCATTGGGGTTGACTGTGATCATGGTACATATCCCACGGAATGCTGAGTCCTTTTCCTCATTGTCTCTTATGTTCCGGAGAGAGGTGCACCTAGTAAGGTAGAGAAAATCTTAGCTAGTTTTATCACACTTTCATTCAATCAAGTCAGATCTAGATGACAGTATTTGATGGAATAAGCCACACGGATAAAATGATTTGAAACACTATTGTGAACAGTTAGGAAAACAGTTATTGCAGTGTTTACTAGCATATTCCCATTATCTACCATCTCCAGAACCTTGTTCTTCTGTGGCACCATTTGTAAAGTGTGACCTGTATTCCATTAAATACAAAAGACACATCTGAAATATTTATAGTAACTATCATTATTAGAAGCAGAACATATAATACTATCACAGTATGAATTATGTCAGATACCAGTTACAGAACAGTTATTTAACTTTTACAGCAGCAAGCAAGCTATTTTATACATAAAACAGGTCTATAAACATATATTCCTTACAGCATTTCAAGCCTCCGACTGATTTTTTTAAGTAAGGTAATGCACAGTTTAAATTTTACTGTATTGGCATGCATTGTAGTATCATTCTGGTGGATTTTAAAACGCTCTTTCATAGTCAAGCTTTAACACAGCAAGCATGTGACAATCTTATCCCATGCATAAATTAGTCGTTAGCCACAACATAAAAAAAATATATGACGGTGCTACTAAAAACTCACAAACCTGATAGGACAAGATTAGTCACATGGTTGGCAATGATTAAGGATTGAGATTTTGTAACCAACTGAAAATATATCTAAAAGTGAGATAGAGAGAAGAAAGAAAGAAAGAGAGTGAAGAAAAATGAATTAAAAAAAAAAAGATTGAATAATACACACCAGGGTCTTATAAACTGCTGTAGCATGGGGGCCACCTCTTGAGGACAAACGTAACCAAGACGACCAATTGTTATTGCTAAGGTAACGCAATCACGGTTATACACCACCAAACGCCAACCAAGACATGAGCAAATGAGGGGGGAGGAGAAAAAATAAAGAAAAAACAACAAATAACTCAGAAACAGAAACCAACAGAATCTGTGTATGATAATAAACATAAGATTTCACCAGTGCTGTTTATTACCACCCCCTAAATAAGAGGCAGCAACATATATGGTATACTTTCCAGGGTAAAAGAAAAATTAAAGAAGTAAATGAGAGAACACCAAAAACACAATTTAAAAACAAAAGGCTTTCTGATGTCTGCAGTCATTCTGCTCTCTTCACTTACTTTATGTTAAATTTACCTACCATGCACTACTAAGATTTTATTCAAATGTACTATTAGGGATTCTCTTAATAAAAAGGAATTTTCAGCTTTATTTATAAAGTATCCTAAACATTTTTTCAGTATTTAGAATTCAAGTTTTTAATATGCTTATCCATGCCTAATATGCTTGGAAATATGTTTCCATTAAATATACTGTGATCTGTCTATAAATGCTAAATATATGAAAATTCTTTAAGAAAACAAAAAAATTGTTCTCTTTATAATCTTTTAGATAATTTAAAGTGGTTGCTAGAGCAACTAACTGCGAAGTCAATTCTTCTTTTCTCAACAATCTTCATCATAACAGCCATACAATAATCTGACTTCTGATGCAAAGGCATAAATACAAAATTGCTTCTTCACATTATTTGGTAGTTCAGTCCTTTATGGAGGGACAGATTGAAAAAATATAACTGTGTTTTAGTGGTGTTTGCTCAACTCACAAAAGATTAATCTTTAGAAAAAGGAGAGGGTGGGGAATAATGTATCAGGATTACTTGAAGCAAAATACATGAATAATACTAAAATCCAGCAGATTTATATGAAGCAGAGAAAGGAAACCTATGTTCAAGGGACATACTATGCAACACTCTAATTAAACAGGCAATTGTGAACAGTTTCATGAAACATGCAATAAAGCAGATGATGCTTTCTCCAATAAAAGTTTGGTGTAGGATATACTAGTAGTACGAATTCCACAAACCAGCTGCTCACTTGCAATGCACTATTTCAATACACAGGATCTAAAATTCTCAGCAGATTTAACTCGTTAAAATGTATTTGAATTGCTTTTCAAGTACAAGTTTCAAGTTAAAATACACTTCAGTTTTATCCACACTTAAGTTTTCACAGTTACAGTTTGTACAAGGAATAGAAACTTCTGTCAAAGATCAAGTTTTTGACATGTACTCACTTTCAGTTCTACTGCTTTTACTTAACACAGTCTCCTGTTTCTATAAAACTGTGCTCATGGCTCATTACATAGCAAGCTAAAGCAGAAAACAGTAATACTCTTGCACATACCAGTGATATGCAGCACAATATCCCACAACAAACTTATAATAAGTACACCACACTCAACATTTATCTGCAGTTACGCATCCACATTTAAAGTAACTATTAAGAGAATAAAGGAAATGTCAGTGTTCAGATGCTTCCAAAAATTCCACAACAGTGATAGAAGCAAAAGTTTAAGATTGGATGCCTCCCAGTTACAGGCATTACATCCATCAGTGAAGAGGAAAGGGGCCAGGAGCGTGGGAAGAAGGAATTTATGCTGACATACTATTTCATGGTTTATTTGAAAACAAGTACATATTTGCTCCAAAATGATCTTTTCAAAAGGCAGTATCTACTTTATCCCACAACTTTGTAGTTTTCCTTGTAGTTCACCTTCCATACTAAACTGAGAATAGTAGGAGAGATGTAGCCAAAGCACAGCTTTTATGTTAAGAGAACATTGGAGGAGAAATACACATCGAAAATCTGTCACCAATTTACTTCACGCTACGCATAAAACAACTTGCATAATTTTTAATCGTGTCATGTTATAATGACTAAGCTAATATTTTCTTACAGGACAAATTTTCAGACAAAAAAAAAGGATTCTCAATTAGTAAATGATAAACCTGTAAGATTATTAATAAAATTCTGTTTGAAGTATGGAAGGCGTTCATCCTACCAGAACGTGCGCTCTATAAATGCAAAAGAAACAAGCCTCAGAAGTTCCAGCACAGTTTGGGAACTCTTTCCAGTTTGGAAGGTACAGCCTATTGGCCAGAACACAATGCATGTGTGCCAATTTTAGGCTTGCTTTCAAAATTTACTTGTTTATTTCTTGTGACCAGGTAACAGAACTTCATTGAAGTACATGACTTCAGCTATGTTGGAGTAAAAAGGCCATCACAGATCTACATTTTGGTGGTCTCACAAATCAGTATTTTAAAAAACAGCGTTGTTTCTTGGTTTTTGGGTTTTTGTTTTAAATTCAAATAATCTATTATTTGTTTTATATACACCAATCATATTCATTTCAAACACCAGAGATAAACATAGTGCACATATGTAACGACTTGCATATATTTAAATAAGGCTAATATTAGGTTATAAGTGTTTCTGTATATATATGTTATATGTAATTCATATATAACACTGGAAGGATACTTACAAAAAAATCAAATAGATAACAGTTATACTAAGTATTATAGAGGTGAGAAAGCAACAACTGTAAGAATCCAGATAGACGATAGAAGATTTAATGCAAGACTGAGACTTGTAAGAGCTTTTGCAAAACAGAGTTGTTTTTGCTTAAAAAAGCCAAATACATTCCAATACAACCAGTTCTGGTGTTATTCCTCTACGTAATTTTTAAAATAAAAAAAAATAAATCCATAATTCCTTCAGCACAAATGCTTCAGTTTTTGGGTACCTGTGTTCTCTAACAATGTCTTTGGTGTGTTGGGTCTGTTAATTATTTCTACAAGCTGGTGCAACACCATTGGAATATAAGGCTGCATCTCTATACCTGAAATAGTCAAAAAGAAATATTTAGAAGAAAATGATTGTTAATATATATAATCTAAGTAGACTTGATACACTGAATTTATTATCAAAGACAAATTTCAACCTTAATTTAAGTTTTAACATGAAAGTATCAGTAAAAACTAAAAAACAAACAAAATCAAAACAGACTAACCATGCTAAATGTGCAAAGATTCAAAGAAAAAAAAAAAAAGCTTACCCATCTGAATGGAGATCTCTCCAATAGCCCAGGTAGCATTGTTACACACAGAAATGAATTCAGGGTTTAGGTTGGTTCCCAAAATGGGCATGAAATCAGCTAAAAAGAACAATATTAAAAAAGTGGTTTTTTTTTTTTTTTTTTTTTTTTTTAATCATTTGAGCCTATTTAAATACTTGGAAAATGTTACACATGTATTAATGAGAGTTGCATTTCTACTATATATCAGATAAACTCTGATTTTAGAATCCGTGTAGATCAACAAATCTTTTCAAACTATGATTCTAAAATGCCTCTAATAGGCTTTATCTTCATGCAACTCTATAAACCCTTTTTCTCCCCTTCCCTAACTGGAGTAGAAGGGAGGAAGCAAAAGCAACCCAATAACAAGCACTTGTAGTTTTATAAATGGTTGAACAATCAATCCTTGAACCATTCAGATAACTACATATTCAAGCGTGCTAACAAGAAAAGAACCCAGAAGGCAATCACATCTATCATTATAACGTCTGCTACTTGAACTTTACATTCCCAAGGCTATCAAAGCATACATTTGGCAAAGTGCATATCAAGAACATTTGAAGGATGAGATAGCAAATATTGTGGAAGCATATAATTGATGTTACATTCCTATTGAACACAAAACAAAACAAACACCAAGAACAAACAATGGCTAAGCCAAAACATGCCTTCTAGCCAAGTTCTCCACTTTCACTATAAATCACAATATCACAGAATGGCTTGTGTTGGAAGGGACCTCAAGGATTAAGTTCCAACCCCCTTTCTGCAGGCAGGGTTGCCAACTGCTAGATCAAGTACTAGATCAGGCTGCCTATGCCATCCAGCCAGGATGAGAGAGAGAGACAGGACACCCACAGCCTCTCTTGGCAGCCTGTTGCAGCACCTCATCAGTCTCTCAATGAAAAATGTACCCCTGACCTCTAATCTAGATCTCCTTCCTTTAGTGTAAAACTACTTTCTCTCATCCTATCACTATCTACCTGTGCAAAAACTTGATCATCCTCCTGTATTTATAATCACCTCCTAAGTACTGGAAGGCTGCAATGAGATCTCTATTCTGCTTTCTCCAGGCTGAACAAGCCCAGCTCCTTCAATATGTCTTCATAGTAGATGTGCTCCAGCCCTCTAATCATGCTTGTGGCCCTCCTTTGGGCTCTGCAAAAGCTTCACATCCTTCCTTTGCTGAAGGATGCAATATTCAAGAAGGGTGTCACAATGGCAGAGATGAATAATCACCTCCCTCACCTTGACGGCCATCCCTCTTAAGAGGCAGCCCAGGATACCATCAGCATTCCAAGCTGCAAGCACACAGTGCTGAGTCATATTAAGTTTTTTCTCTACCAGGATGCCTAAGTCCTTCTCACCAAGGCTACTCACAAAGAGTTCTCCCAGTTTGTATACATATATGGGATTACTTTGATGCAAGTGCAAAACTTTGCACTTTCCTCTGATGAACTTCACTAGGCTCACGTGGGCCCAGCTTCTGATTTTATCAAGGTCCTTCTGGATGGCATCCCTTCTACCATACCAACCGCACCACTTAGCTTGGTGTCATCAATTAATCTGCTGAGGGTACTCTCAATCCTATCATTTATGTCACTAAAATGATAAAAATGTTACAGAATACTGATCCCAAGACAGACCCCTGCGGGACATGGCTCATCACCAGCCTCCATCTGGACACAGAGCTATTGACCATAACCCTCTGGATGCAAACTTCCAGCCAATTCCTTATCCACCCTTCAAATCTAGCTCTCCCCAATTTAGAGATAATGATGCGGTGAGAAATCATGTCAAAAACCTTGCAGAAGTCCATGTAGACGCCCTCCCTTTGCCCACTGATGCCATCACTCCATCACAAAAGGTGACTAGATTGGTCAAGTACAATCTTCCCTTGGTGATGCCCTGCTGGCTGCCTCAGATCACACGCTCATCCATCATGTGCTTCAACATGTTTTCCAGGAGGATCTGTTCCATGACTTTCCCACAGAGGTGAGGCTCCTACCCCATAGATCTCTTGGTCCCCCTTCCTCCCTTTCTTATAAAAGGGAGTGATATTGCCCTTTTTCTGGCCACCTGACAGACAGAGATTTTCATCTATGAAAAAGAGCAGCTTGGCAATCACATCAGACAGTTCCACATCAGAGCCACAGAATGCATGTCATCTGGCCCCATGGATTTCAGCTTCATGAAGTCGTCTCCAACTTGCTCTGTCCTCATGCTGGAGCCAAGTTGCTCCCCCAGTTCCCATCAAGCAGTTCAGAGATGTGAGAAATATGAGAGTTCTGACTGCCAGTGAAGACTGAGGCAAAGAGCTCATTAAGTACTTCAGCTGTCTCCGTATCTGTGTAGCCAGTTCTTTCTCATTCAAAGGAGGTACACTGTCTCTGGCCTGTCTCTTCTGCCAAACGTACCTATAAAACCCCTCCTTGTTGTTTTTAATATCCTTCTCCAAATCCGTTCCATCTGTGCCTTTGCTTTCCTGATCCTATCTCTGTATGTCCAGACAACATTTCTGTATTTTTCTGAGATGACACAATCTTGTTTCCAGCGCCTGTACATGCCCTTCTTTTCTCTCAGTTTGATCAGAACATCCTTGCCAAGCCATGCTGGTTTCCTGCTTCCTCTATCTGCTTTCTTATTCTGAAGATGGAGAGCTCTTGAATTCTCAGAAATGGATCCTAAAAGAGTAGCCAGCTTTGCTGCCCTCCTTTGTCTCTAAAGATAGTTTCCCAAGAGATCTTGTCCAACAATTCCACAAAGAGCCTGAAGTTCCACCTCCGGAAGTTCAGTCCTGACTCCACTCCGCCAAGCTCACATTCCTCAAGATCACGAACTTGACCAGGACATGGTCTCTGCACTCCAGGCTTCCTTCAATCCTAACCTCTTTAACAATTTAACAGCTTGCTGTGGTGTTTTCCCAGAGATATCTGGCTGGTTGAATATCTCCCATCAGGATGAGACCCTGTGATCATGACACCTATTGCAGCTGAAGCAAGAAGGCTTCATCAATAGGCTCCCCCTAGATTATGCAGCTTGTATTAGACTGTACTAGCTATCCTTTTTTGGTTCAATGCCTTATTTTAACCTACAGAATCTCTCAATCTGTTCCTGACTCTTTCTCAGAGGATGCTCCTTGCAGTCTATAACACAGTCTTCTTATCATAAAGGACAACTTCCCCACTCCTGCTACCTTGTCTATCACTTTTACAAAGCTCATAGCCCTCAGTGGTGGTACTCTAGTCATGCAAGCCATCCTGCCATGTTTCTGTGACAGCGATAAGATCATAATTCTCCACCAAATGCAATTTCCTAGCTTCTGTTTATTTTCTACACTGCACACATTGTTATAGATGCACTTCAGCTGAGCTTTCAGATACATTACTTTCCTAGAGAAGTACTCCCACAAACTTCCAGGACAAATCTGAAGTTTTCCCCTGCTGCTTCTTAAAGTGACTGCGCTCCCTATCTCTCAGTTATTGTGTAGTACAGACCCCTCCCCCAGTAGCTCTAGTTTAAAGCCCTAGTGATGAGCTAGCCAGCTTGCTGCCCAATATGTATGGTATATCTATCTATAATTTTAATGTAGAATGTAGTTAAAAAAGAAGTAAAATATACAAATTCAGAAATTTAGCAAACCTGGAACTGTTTAGCAAACAAAGGAACTGTTCTAATTAAGTTAAGTAAATCTTTTTATATATTCCAGCAGAACAGGCAGCTTTTAAATTGTAAAAATCAAGCAGCAAAATGAATTATTTATATTATCTAAAAAACCCCATCTTTTAAACACAGTTTGAAGGAAAAAAGCTGCAGTCCCTTGCTAATAAAGAAATATGAAAATACACAGCATGACAATGCAAGACATAGAAAAAAGGATCTTAACAGTGGCTAAAGGAGCCTTTTATCAGTCTGTAAAATAAGTTAATTGTTTAGTATGCGAAGGAAACATACCGATGCAAGGCTTAACATGCTGAAAACACGCCTTTGTCAGATCACCTAACAGTGCAAAAGAACTCTGTCGTACTTCAGGCATTTTATCCTAAGGAGAAAAAGAAGAAATATGGCAATTCTTGAAGTGTTTCTGATCATCTCAAAGAAAACCCTTGGAAAAATCAGTTTCTCATCTCACCTGCATGCATTGGTACATCAGTGTCAGGATATTGCTCCGAGCTACCAGCTGCTCAATGTTGCCTCCAAGACCTTCAGCTAAACCACTGAGCAAATCAAGAGCCACAATCATGAAGTCCTTATCTGGAGCCTCATATTGGTCTGGTTGAGCATTGTGCAACTGTAGCAAATGAAAATACATTTTCAGAATGAGAATTATGTTTTCTCAGGGGTATGCAAAACTGTAAAAAACAGTTTCAGAGATTCAGTGTTATACTACAGATGTCCCCGGCAACCCCTAACTTTACACAGTTCATAGAAACAGAATCATCTGAGTAGGAAAGGACCTTTAAAGGTCATCCAGAGTCCAACTCTAAAGTCTAGAGTCCAACTCTGCAATGAACAGGGACACCTATAGCTAAATCAGGTTGCTCAGAGCCCCATCCAGCCTGATCTTGAATGTCTCCAGGGATGGGATATCCACTACTCCTCTGGGCAATCTGTTCCATTCCCTTGCTACCCTCACTGTAAAAGACTTTTTCCTTATATCCAATCTAAATCTCTCCTCCTTAAGTTTGAAACCATTTTTCTTGTCCTATTGCCCCAGATCCTCCTAAGGAGTCTGACCCCTTCCTTCTTACAGCCCACTTTTACATACTGCAACACCACTATCAGGTCTCCCCAGAGAGACCTGACAGTCTCCCTTCTCTTCTTCGGGCTGAACAACCTGTTCTCATTGCAGATGTGTTCCACCCCTTGAATCATCTTTGTAGCCCTCCTCTGGACATGGTCCGACAGGTCCATGTCTCTCCTATCCTGCAGACTCCACAGCTAGATGCAGCACCCCAGGTGATGTCTCACTGGTGCAGAGCAGAAGGGCAGGATCACCTCCCTCACTCTGCTGGCCACATTTCTTTTGATGTGGCTCAGGATGCGGTTGCCTGCTGGACTGTGAGGGCACACTGCTGGCTCACATCCAGCCTGTTTTTGGCCAGTACCTCAAGTCCTTTTCAGTAAAGCTGTGTTTCATCCTTACATTCCCCAGCTTACACTTGACTTTGTTGAACCTCACGAGGTTCTCCTGGGCACACTGCTTGAGTCTATCTAGGCCATACATTGTTTTAATCAGTTAACAAGTCTGAAAACACTGGAATAGCAAAAGAAAATTACCATGGCTTGTGCAAGGGTCTTCTGCACTAGATTTACACAACGCTGGTACACAGGTTCACAGTATGGAAGAAAGCCAGATTGCAAGGCAGTAGCAACTGACGACAGGCACTGGAATTAAAAGAAGAAAAAAAAAAGGGGGGGGGAGAGAGAGAAAAGTCAAATGTATAACTGTTAAGTGAATGCACAACCCAGAATGACTGTAGCAATTAGCTCAGCCATAAAAAAAACTTTTTTTTTTTTTTTTTAAAGATAAGGAGTTCCTCAGGGAAAAACACGTAAGAATGGTACAAAATAAATTCAAGTGGCTTCTGCTACAAGCTTTACTGATTTAAGCCTTTGTAGTTACACATCCTAGTAGGTAGTTTCTTGAGCAGAAAGCATAACTCATAAAAGGAGCTGATATATGACATTCAAATTTTAACTTTTACCTCTAATAAAGGAAAGAGATCTTTATCTTCATCCTTCAACATGTTCCACTTGTGGATTAACGGGGGCATTAGCATCTGAATATATTCCTGTTCAGGATAAAAATGCATCAGCTGTTGAAATACTTAATTGCACGCTGGTTTATTTCAAAGTCAAAACATTGATATATTAAAAATCATTTCTACTTTTTCAGCAAAAGAAAACTGATATGCTGCAAACCAAACACAGTAATATGCACAAGTAGTTTAATATTAGAGTTTATAAATTACATTCAGATTTTTTTCATTGAGACATGTAATCACCTCCAGTGATCAGTGGATTTTTTCCTCCATGTTTGGTTTCAGTTTTGCAACTTTCCATAGCTATCTGGGTTGTTACAAATTTATAATTGCCTACGAATTTATTTACTTTTTTTTCCAATCAGCACTGCAATTGCCACTTGCATTTCTCAATCATTTCACATTACCCTGCTGCTACAAATTACCCCATATTCCTGAAACTTCATCCTCAAGCAACTAGCCATGCACGAAGAAAGTAATTTTCTATCCATCTATAAAGATAAACTTAGTCACTCTGAAACAAGCTGTTTAGTCTTCTCTGCCACTCAGTCACAACGTCAAGCAAGGCATCCCTATGTTAATGCTACTGCTCCCAAAAGATAGCTGAATAGCCAACAAGAACTGTCAGCTAATCTTATGTTCAAAACCACAATATTCAAAGTGACTGAAGAAAGTCCTGCCATCACCAAGAGCTCCCATTTATCTTCCCCTAGACTATATGAAAAGGCCAAAGAGATCAGAAGAGAGGCCCTCTCATGGTGGGATGCCTTGAACAGAAAGCAAAGTGCCATAGCAACAACTCAGATTAATTTATTCTAGTGAATCTATGTCACACGAAGCACTACAGAGAAATAAAACAAATTTTAACAGCCATCATAAGAAGATGCATACAATATGAGACATCTACACATTCTACTAACAAATGTTGAGGAAAAAACAGCAAAATGCTCCATGCTAGAGTATGGCCTTTGCATTATCTGTGCTTTTTTATTTGTAAGTTGCATAACTGTTCCATTCTCATACAGCTTCTATTGACAATATGCTCCACTACATAGAAAGACACACAGAGCATCTGAAAGTAGTTTAAAAAAAGAAAGTGGTCAATAGAAATTAGCATACATTCCAGCAATTCCTCTTAAATCTGACTTAATGTTTGAATTGATACACATATCTCTAAGCTGAAAAAAATCTGAAAATGAAGTAAGTAATCATGACAAGAAGCACATTTCAGAAACCAGTATACTTAGATCTGCTGTTACAAAATTCATAATGTTTGCATAGCTAGGAAAGTAACTGCAGTTTATGTATTTTTCATACAAACATTTAGTATCACCAAAACCTACAAGGAAAGGTCAGTACTTCTGTTTTGCAATGTGTAAAACATTCTAGAGATGTATGATGAGTATTTTTATAGAATGTAAGGTATACTCACTGGTTTATTTAGATGATGGCCTACGGAATCTGCTAGAGTTCCTATAGCATCATAAAGAATAAGCAGGTTTTTATGCTGGTATTTACTAAATGCGAAGACCAAAGTGTCAAGTATATATGCAAGATAAGGAACAAGCTCTGTACAAGCCTCCTCTTCTAGAGTAGCAAAGGCACTGAGGGACAAGAACAAAAACCAAAAACGATGTTAGTCAGTACCTTTGGGGAAAAAAAAAAACCAAACCAAAATCAACAGTACAAACCCCTAACATCCCACGCTCTCCCTTCCTTTTTAACATAAAACTATTCATCCTAGGTATGTTTTCAGAATTGTTAGACTGAGGTTACTGCGTAATATTTTGATTGAATACATAAGGATCTTGTATTATGAAGAACAAAATTCAAATAATTGCTGTAAAAACTACAATGTATACAGATAAAGCCTATTGTGCTGCCAAAAGCATTACTATATACAAGTTACAGTGTTTTAAATAGTAGGAAAACATAATTAAAGTTGCCCAGTATGAGCTAAAAAAAAAAAAAAAAGCCTACTATATTTAACATGTGCTGCAGCTACACCTGAAGCCTAAATGCTCCTGTACCAGTACAATACTGGCATCTCTTTCACAGAAGTACACTGCACTGAAAAACAAGTACAGAGAGACAAAGAAAACAAAAGTAAAAGTGAGGAGGGAACAAACAACTTCAGCCACCCTTGGTTAAAAAACACTTCATGACATCACAAAAATTTCATGCCTATCAAGTGTTTGTGAATGACAGCACTAAAAGACATGCTGCTTCAGAAGAGCAATTAAAGGAAAAAAATCAAGAACTATTGATGATTTACAGATCTAACTTGCGTCAAGAAGACTCAGTCAACCCCAACACCAAAAAAGTATGCAACACTGTAGGAGGTGAACAATCCCCTACTACTCTGATACCAAATACAGAAGTGCTTTTTACTTAAAACAGTGGAACTGTGAACACTAAAGGTCTATTTTACTTACATACCTATAGTCCTAATATTATTTAAAATTATTTATTATATTATTTTGATGTACTCTTTCAGAAAGGCATAGAATGCAAGCATGAAAATGTGTTTCAATGAAATATCTTTTCAAGTGTCTCTCCAACTAAAGGAACACTTTCCTCAGTATCACAGAAATGGAAGTTAAACATCTGCAATGATACACAAGTTAGTGATGAAAATATCTTCTATTCTGAGCAATTTTAAATATAGCAGACAATGATTTGTGCAGCTGTAAGGATGTAGGTTTTAGGTTTTCTCCAAGAAGGATCATTATACTGCTATTCATAAAATTACTAAGTACATTTTTACTTGTAACAGCTCTACAGCTTCCTTAAAGTGGAATTTCCTAAACCATTTTATCTGCAACAATGTTTTTCATGAGATCAACAGTATAAATCTAATACTGGCTAAATGCACAAAACAAAAAAATCAGGTACATCATTTGTTTTTAGTATTTCCATTTTAGCTCCACTGAGAGATACTTTTGTTTCTTCTAACAGTTTCCATGCATATTACATCATTCATAGACTTTCCATAAGGGCACTGAACAAGTGCAGCACAGCTGTATTTAACTACACACACATTTCAACCATGTTTTTAGACAAGGTGAGCAGGAATCTGGAAGGGTTTTTCTTTGTTCGATTCTGCTTTTTTTTTTTTCCTTTCCTTTTCTTCCCCCACACCCCAAGTAGAATTTGTAAGTAACTCTGATTCATAGGATCTGAAAATTTGCGAAGAAAGAATTCTTTTCATGTTCCTGTTTGTTCTGGAAGGAACAAAAGGTCATCACTGTAAAAAACAGGTGGATAGGAACAGAAGATAAAGCTGAAGAAATGTGCTAGCCACATGTTTGGAAAGTTTTAGAACAAAAATGAACTTGTGTTTAATATGCAAAACTGACTTAGTGTATTTCATTAATTATATTTATCTCAGACAATAATGTATCTACTCCTGAGCAAAGCTTAGTACAGGAACTCTGACCTCAGTGTTGACTTAGGCACTGCTGAAATCTAAAAGAACCCAAACAAATGAAGACCCAAAAATCTAAAATGCACCCAACAACTCCAGTTTTAGGCATGCAATCACAAGCAGATCTAATTCTGCTTTGTGAAGAAACTTTTTTTTTTTTCAGCCTGCTGTGTAAATTCTTGCCCCACACATACATTGACACAGATGAGCTTAATGGACGTGTGAAATTCTCATTTCATTAACACTGTATGCTTTAAGAAAGCCTAATTTTGTTTTGTTTTTAAAATATCAGCAGGCAAGACAGAGAACAAAATCTTATCTCACAGAATTTCCTTTCAAGAGAGAAAGGAATATCCCCCGTAACAGTAACTCAAATCTTCTGGTAATACTGAGACAGCTATAAACTATCATGTTAGGACAGTTTTCTACTGTTATCGGTATTGATCTTATTCCAAGGCACATAAAAAACAGATTTCCAGCCAATGAAACTTAAAATAATGAAAATAAACAGGTGTCATACAGATGGTTTATTTTACTGCAACATGTTTTTTAGCTTGGTGATCAATATACTCTGAAAACGAACTTGTACAAGGAAACACAAAATTTTATTACAATAATTTGTAAAGCTGAATCTACTCCGGTTATAAAAAAAACACCAATACAATGTGCTAAAATGAGGTCGTGCATTCAGTAGTAAAGCATTAAAAAAATTTCCAACGAAGAAGCAATATCACTGACAGTGCTTCTAGGTTAAGGAAAGCCTCGGCTTACCTGCAGGCAGCTTCTTGTACTCTCTTGTTGCTATCCAGGATACGCTGTAGCAACTCAGTCATTAATGGCTTCAAGTATGTGTCTGGGGGTTGACTAACTACCCAGTGTGCATAGCGACTAAGAGTCCAGCATGTAATGGAGCGCACAAGAGCCTTTTTGTCAGAGAGGCACTGAATAAGGTGAGGGATCAGCTCAGGAAGATACGGAATCATACCCTGCATGCAGCCTGTGAGGGAAAAAAAAACCACAACAAAAACCAGTTACTTCAGTACCAGAATTAATGAGAAGTAATATTTCCTAGAAAGGCCACTGTCATTCTCTATTGCACAATAATACATTTTAGCAATATGTGAAGCAAGTCTATCTCTTTTATGTTAAGCTATATGAGAAATCTTACCATAAACAACAGTTAAACCTTGCCAATTAAATTTATATGTGACTGTATTTCTGCTTCAGTGCTTTCTGCTTTATTAAAGTACATAAAATGAGTTTATAAAGCTTCAATGTCCTAAGTCAGAATACTCAAGAGTGACCAAAACAACAAGCACAGAAAGATTCAACTTTGATAACAAATAATCGCATCAATAAAAAGGATATTTTTTCAGCATTTAATTTCCCTCTGATCAGCAATAGCTGACCACTCATGTCATTAAGAAGAACAATACGTTATTAAGATTTATCAGAAGTACTAACTTTCACCTGGTTTGAACTGGAATCAAAGCCAACAAAAAACTTTTTTCAGCAACAAAGAAAATGTACTCAGTAAGCACAATGGGAAAAAGAAAGATAATGCAGGCAGACACAGACCCAAACATATTTCTTCCATCTGCCAAAAAGACAACGATGCTAGAAACACAAACAAAATGCCAAAAAGCCTATAAGTACAGAGAAAATTAAGTTATCATATGTGAAACACAGAATGATCCACTAAAAGTGGCTCAGGGCACTGAAGTCAGAAGAGTGGTCTTTCCAGTTTCTGAAAACAACAAATAAAATGTAAGGGTTGAGTTTATTAAAATTATTTTTACTTGTATTAAATCAAATTAGTACCAAATCAGTGACAAATAAATATATACTGAAGAGTTAAGAAAGTGGGAGTAAAAGAAAACTTAAGTTATTCAGTCTTCCAAATTTAGAAAATTTAAATAACACCAGACACCAACAAGTAAATGTAGAGATTAATCACTGAAACCAGATCAGTGAAAGACACTTGTTTGCACAAGTAAACATATCGAGAAGGAATCACAGGCCTGCCTCAGAGCCAGACAATAGGTTTACTAAGTTGATATTCACTGTTGCCTTACCTTCAGCAATTGCTCCAAGAACAAGGATACCTGATTCCTTAACTACCCATTCGGGATGGAAGAGCAATTCCTTCAAAAGGGGCAGGATGTGTGGCAAAAGTTCATCACGAAATACATTGGCCAAAACATCTAGAGCAGCAGCAGAACATTTCCCTGAGGGGAATTAACAGCATTAATCTCATTTGCAGTTAACCAGTTTAATTCTCATTTTAACTTTGAGCTATCAGTGGAGAGGCAGGGCATTATTCTAAAGACGACCAACCACTTCAGTTTCATTACAGTATATAGTGCAGCCCTTCCCTCTGCTGTGAGGGTACAGCTTTTAGAAATCCAGTTTTGCAGCAGTTAAATACCCATTGAAAACACATATACTGCAGTGACATTAAAATGCTCACTGACAAAAACCACACCATCATACTGCAGCATTCCATATACTATGTAATTTCAGGACCACATAACACTGAGGAAGCCGAAAGGTCTGAGATTTGAATGTAACAACTGGAGAAATTAGAGAGAAATTGCCTAATAAATAAATAAATAATTAACAGCAGTTGATCCATGTCTCAAGATAACCAACATCAATTCCTACAGAACAAAAGCAACTTACACGCCTCTGTTCTGAGCTCTTGTAAAAAACAAACAAACAACTCCTGTACACTAATTCAAATAAGAGCACCTTGTACTAAGTATATATAATCTCTTTCTTATAGAAAAAGAAAGCTCAAAAGAAAAATCAAGAACGTTTGAAAAATATGATTCAGAAATTGTCATTTTCTGCTGTAGTGTTGTTGTATCTAGAAAAATAACACTAAAGCTATTTTATGAAGAATGGGTGTATTACAAAATTTATATTGCACTATTTTGCTCATTATGATCTCAGTTCCTTACTAATCTGTCAGAAAAATTCCAGTGGGAACAGAACTATATAGAAGATAGGCATCAGACAAAATATACAAAGCATATGGTAATATGTAAAAATCCTAACCTAGATCTAAAAGCTACCGGGCCCATATAGGACCCATATGGACAAGTTTTAGATGGGATGTAATAGCTACCAGAACAGAAATAAATATAAGACTTTCTACTCTGCTTCTAGATGAAGTTCAAAATGTTTGCATGAAATAAAGGAATCCTCAACTTACAGCAGATCTCAATTGCAAAGCAATAATTAACAGCACAAACTCCCAGCAAAGATCTGCACTTCCACCTATCAGGTAAGACTTTCAGCTTTCATTAGGGAAGAAAGGACCCAAAGTAGCTTAACAGGTCTTAATAAAAAACAGTGCTGCTATTAAGTCAGGTTGCACTGCTAACTCTTCTCTGTTAAAATTGGAAGTCAAATATAGAACACTACTAAGAAATAAGGGTCGATTCTGAATTTCGGATAACCCAAATTATCTCAAGTCCAGATGACACATGCCAATGGGAATCCCCCAGATGTTCTGTTCTTCCACAGTTTCGCATCATCTTAACTACAGTTCTGGACCACAAGGTACCCTGTCAATTTCAGCTGTGCTTTTCATAGCAGAAGAATACCAGAAAATTTGCATTTAATAGTGCAATCTCTACTAACAACTGTGACAAGAGCAGCATAACGAACCCAAAACTATCTATTTTTTAATAAGAGACTTCAGAAAAAATGAGTTTATTTATATCCTCACTTTCTTTACAAAAATAATAATAATTCTAAAAAAATCAGACAAGCCTCTAAAATGTTTCATCCCTAAGCTTCAAAGAAATGTTTTGTTTGTGATTAAAACTCTGGGCTTTGTAAGAAATATAAAACTCTATGTGGATATGTCTGAATCTCAAAACCAGTGAAAAAGCTCTCTAATAGAATCACAGAATGGTTTGGGTTAGAAGGAATTTTTTACATCATCCAACTCCAATCCCCTGGACATAGGAACAAACTTTTCTACAAAGTATGTTTCACCACTGTAGTGAGAAGAACAAAACAGTAAGAGCATGGTTTGAGAAGTTTTTGAACCAGAAGTGAGGCAGCCAATAAAATCAGGTATTTCATTTTTATGGCTACTCACGAGTTGAATGAAGTAGTTAGAAATCAAGTAATGAAGCTGTCAAAAACCCTACAGTGTGATTTCCTATTTATATAAGTAAATCTAAATTGCCGACTTTCTAGATTAAAAGAATCTAGAATTCTTTCCTACATATTTTATCAAATTAATCCACTAAACTAATTTCTATTGTCCCCAAGAAACTGTATTTCCTCATTTTACTAGCCAACGTCTTCAGGTTCATAACTGAGAAATCTGCTCCTGGATAAGGAATAACCAGCTAGAGAATCTGTTCTTCCTTTTCAGGCAGTCAGGAGTAGAACCAACAAAGAGACAAGAGTAGCAGCTGTAAATTTATCTCATGTGGAATATAATCAGAAGACAAATCCTTCCCTGCTCCAACAGCTCCTCACTGCTATGTCTGCTCTTAATAGCTCATGTATTCTATTCTGGTCAGAAGCACATATCTTACATATAAAAATAAATATTGGTAGTAACAATAACACCATCCGAAATAACCTGTGGCCCCCCACCCCCAAAAACAGTATCACCCCTGTTCTACCTACCCAAGCCATTAATTACATCAGAATTTATTTTCCTCCTGCTCAAAAGCAAAGCCCCTGTATTTCCATATATGAGACCTTTTCACTGCAGTTCTCATATTGCACAACTAACAGTATTTTAACACATTTTACACATCACTTTGACATACTTAAATTCCAGTCAGAAATAGCATCATCATCATCAATTTCATCATCATCATCATCACGATCTTCAATGCCATCTTCCTCATGTTTCTGAGCTACTGTTCGTGAACGATGAAAACGAGGTCTTATGTCCTGTTCACTATCTGGAATTGCTTCATCTTCTTCAACATCTCCCTGTCATCAAAATGGTTTCATCAGTACAATTATGTTATTCAAGGAAGTTAAAAATGCATGGTAAATTTCAGTTCAAGATTTTGTAGCCATATGAAAGATTCACACCTCACTTGTGCTGCGTGGCTAACTAAAAATGCCATTGTTTCTGCGTTCTCCTGCAGTATTTAACTGAAAAATTACAGAAAAACACAAATGAGATAAACCTCATGTGAAAGTATCAAGTATCTTTCTTACTAAGAGGCTGCAATTGAAAGGAATGAATTAGAAGGCACAGAGACATACTCTAAAATGCTGGGATAGAAAAAGCTCTAATTCGATCTAGAAGGGTATTACAACTGACACTGAATTTTTCTTTTTTTTTTTTTTTTTTTTTTTTTAATGTTTCCTTGCAGGAGTGAGTCATGAGTAACAGTATCTCAACATCCAAACTGGATGAGGGCAGACAGGAGCAAAGCCGGAAAATCCACTGATTATTTTCTAACAAACTCAGTAATGATAGCATTTAGTATTTGGAGCAGTCCCTGCAAGACCTTACCCCAAAGATCTAATTCTCTACTGAATAGACGGTAGATCAGATTTGGCCCATCAATTGAACCGTACTGATTCATAGCTCAGAAGTTAACCAGGTATTTCCATAGAACAAAAGAAATTGATGCTCACCTTCAGCAAAATAATATCTATCTCAGAATATTTCATACCATTCACCAGCACAGGTATCAGCCTACAAAGGGATATTGATATATATCAAAACAATGCTTTAATTAAATAAAAAATTATTTCCAGTTACCTGAGCCTTAATTTTGGTTGCAATTCCCCCCAAAAGAAGCAGAAATCCAAAAACCCAGAAACCTGATACAAACTCAAGCTCCATTTCATGCTCATTAGTATTTATAATTTGAAATAGCATTAACTCCACAGACTTTCTAACAAGTGGGCTTCTCACCTTAAGAGCAGGACATTATTCCTTCATAAAATGAAACTGAACTTCTAAAAAGTGCCTTAAAATAAGTCTAAAGCAATTCAAAATTCCTATAATATGGTCTCACCAACAGTACTCGGGGTTTTTACCTGAGTTTGTGAACCCTACCTTGCTAAGCTTAGAAGATGGAAGACTTTAAAAAAAAAAACAAAGCCAACCAAACCAGATATGTATGAAAAGTTAATACAAGCTTGTAACACTGCACCAGCCCCAGTAATGGACTTAATCCACATATGATCTGCAACTGAGAAGTATTCATTCTAAAGGTAATTTGGACAGCAGAACATTCATGCATCTCAACAGCATGTTACATTCTGATATTTTAATGGAAGAGTAGTAAGCATTCTGATGAACACCAATTCACTGGCACTTCTGTAGCATACTTCATGAAGTATGCAGAATTATGTATTTTGTAAGAAAGCCTACAGGAACAAAATCGAACAAGATATTATGCTTTATTAGATATATAAGCAGATTTTTAAAAGAGCTTGTCCCACCCTTTAACACGTTGGGGTTTTTGTGGGCTTTCTTTGTTCATCTGAAATTAATTAACAGCATAGCCCCACATTCAAATGGGAGTAATAAGAAAAACTGCTTTCAACAAGCATGTTGAGATCACGAGAAATACGTTGGTCAGTCTGAAAGTAATGCCTCCTATTTATTTCCATGGAAACTACAAGAGACAAAAAGAGTATAAAAACACTATTTGATAGAGCAAATTCTCAGCTACAAAACATTTTTTCAACACCCACCACTACCTATGCATTTTCACTAGTGATGACCAAGAGCCTGCATGCTATACTTATAAAAATATGCCCGACTGTCACCCTTGCTGAAATGCATCACCCACCATCTCTCCACGCTCACATCCCCTGTTTGGTGTCCAGCAACATTCAGCAGGCATCAGCGCCAGTGGGTGCCACTTCCTCCATGTCAGACACCATTTTGTCAGACAGCCCCTTTGCTGCCATTTGTCTTACGGCAACAAAATGTAATGGAATATTGAGAAAGTTCAGCCCCTTAGTGCCATACTACTAACATTCTGCTTCTGACATTGTGGGCCAGCGTAATAAAATAGGAGGCATTATTTTCAGGCAGTCCTCATATACTAATAATTTCATCCATTTTTTTCCCAGCAATTTAGAAGATTCTTAAAGAAAAATAAAGCAAATGTGTAGTATAATGCTGCTGCAATGTTAGTGTTCATTTATGTCAGAAAAACTTTAACACTAGTCAACTTCTCAGTGTAAATATGACGTGTGGCAGAAAGGAAGTGTGTAGTAACTTCAATCACAGAATTTCCAAAGTTCAAGAGACATACAAGGATCACTGAGTCCAGCTCCTTACTTGCTATCACTCTTTTTTGTCTGAGCTACAAGAGTAGGAATTAAATAAAACCATTTTAACACTAAAATGTCATTTATCATAACAGTAGTTCTCCTAGTTTCAACTCCTATTTTTTTATTGCTATGGTAGGTGCTTTAATCTCTTATGTATCCAATTGCTTATGAAAATCATATATTTTTTTAATGGATTGCTTCCCATATAAAGGCCACTACCTACAGAAAAGACAGTTTTTATTCCCTTCGCATCTTGACCAGAAGAACAAAAATCACAGATAGAACTATTGTAGTATTTTCAAAAAGCTTCCATGTGTACACAGAAAAAGAATAAACCATAAAAAAAATCTCTATTTACTGTGAGCAGTGAAAAATTTGTTAATTATTAGAAAGAAGGCTTTTAAGATTAATCTAGAAAAAGTTCAAGACATGTAGATCTCAGACATAGATGTTCATACTCCTTCAACTTAAATCTAAGTGATCTTGAGTCACTTTGTTATGTTCTTTATACAAACAACTGTTGGCATGACTATACACAGAAGGTTTGCACTGAAATCCCCTAACTTGCAGCTGTCAAAGCCACTTCTTGATGTACATCGTGGTACACTACATATTAAAGAAAATGTCATGTGGAACATTTGAGTTTAGCACACAACAACAGTACCCGTCTGATATTTAATAAACTTAAGCTCAAGGTAAAGCACTCCAGCAATACAGTTAGGTTGCTTCTACACCTACTTAAGTACAAAAGAGAAGCCTTTTAAAGTAACTCTGTAGCACAACCATTTTTACTCTTTTACAAGAACTAGCTACAGGAAAATTCTAAGCATGGTGTAGGCTAGATTCAGCCTTTTTAAGATTGTCTTGGACCAAGTTCATTGAACTTCAAAGATGGCAATTTCAGAAACAATCAATTGTAATTACTAATACTTACTTAGTAAGATGCCGACATAAAACATCCTTACAAATGGGTTGTTCAGCCAAAGTCAGCCAAAACTCACAGGCCTCCAAAGCCACATTTTCATCTTGGTCCTGGGTCCTTAGAAGCATGTACTACACAGCGCAAAAAGAAATTACTTGTGTAAGTTCTAGGTGACCAAAAGAAACTACTGATGTTAGAAAGTGCGCCCATAAGAACCTGAGTATGCCAACACAGTATTTTTATTTCTTTGGTAAGGTGGGAAGAAAGGAGACTACGTGAGGCTAGGGTGAGACTTCTTAATCCTATATGATTCAGACTGAACTTGTGCACTGCTTAAGTAAGAACATCATTACAAAGAAGATACAGACAAGAGACTCAACATAATGAAGTTTCTGGTGAACATAAAACGACCTCCCCTTCACTTTTGAATAAAAAGTACACGTATACACTTAAAATGGAAATACTTTTTAAAATTCCAGTACTTTTATTTCCAAAAACCAACAACCTGACAATCTGTATAAGTAGAACTCCCAACATGATAACAAATCAATAAACTGAAGTCTCAGAGTTTTCTAGCATGAATGGTAATTCATAGACTCAGTATCAAATCTGTAAACTTAGAATGAAACTTTAAAAATGCTTAAACAAAAATATAATGAAATACAAGCATAAACAGAATGTCTAAGTATACCACTACTAAACCAGTTTCTTACAGACAACTGCCAGAACAATGCTAAGAAGATGGTTGCAACAGCCAAAGTAGTAAATCTTATGATTTTCCTTACTGCCACTTGTTTCTGAAAAGGTTGATTTCTTAGTATTAGAGCCTGCTGTAACATTTTTATCAATGATTTCTATGAGCGGATTGAGTGCACCCTTAGCATGTCCACAGATGATATCAAGTTGGGCAAAAGTGTTGATCTGCTTGAGGCTAGGAAGGCTCTGCAGAGGGATCTGGACAGGCTGGGTCAAATGGTATTCAACAAGGCTAAATGTTAGGTGCTACATTACAGTCATAACAACCCCGTGCAGTGGTACAGGCTTGGGGAAAGTGGCTAGGAAGTTGCCTGGCAGAAAAGGATACGGGAGTACTGGTCAACAGCTGATTGAACATGAGTCAGCAGTCTGCCAACCTGGCTAAGAGAGCCAATGGCATCCTGGTCTGTATCAGAAGCAGTGTGACCATCTGGACTAGGGAAGTGATGGTCCCTTTGTATTTAGCACTGATAAGATGCCACCTCAAATACTGTGTTTAGGTCTGCGCCCTCACTACAAGAAATACACCTGCAAGAACACACTCAGAAGAGAAACAAAGTTGGTGCAGGGACTGGAAAACAAGACTTATGAGAAATGGCTGAGGGAATCAAGGTTATTTAGCCCGGGGAAGAAGAGGCTGAGGGGAAAACTTTTTGTTCTAACTACCAGAAAGGAGGTTGCAGTAAGATGTCTTGGGTGTTGGTCTCCTTTCCCAGATGATAAGCAATAGGATGCAATGAGATGGTATCAAGTCACACATGGGAAGACTTAGATTGGACACCAGGAGGAACTGGAGAAATTTCTGACGGAAAGGCATTAGAAGAGGCTGCCCAGGACAGTGGTGGAGTCTCCATCTCTGGACGTATTTAAGAGACATGTGGGTGTGGTGCATAGGAAGATGAATTAGGTGTGGACTTTGTAATGTCAGGTAGCTGGTCGGACTTGATGATCTTGAAGGTTTTTCTGGTCTTTCTCAAATTATTTTATGACTCATCATTCTAGAAGCCTCACAGAAGTTGAAATAGAAAGGGGTACATTTTTTTTCCCTGAAGCATTAACAGATACATCTTTATCAGAAGAAAGCAACAGGATGCAAGTAATCTTTTGACTGCAGTACATTTCTTCATTATCTTTTCATATCATCAATACAATATTCATTTATTACAGGTAATCTCATTATGTTTCACATGATAAAAAAAAAATAATCAGAATTTCTATTGAGAGAGATCCTATGATCCACATATTTGAATAAATATCAGTCATGAGCATGTAAGTGTAATTTAATAACTGAAAACTTAGGGTCTACTCTTGACAAAATCTGATATAAAGTTTTCAGATAAAAACAAGAGAAATAGCCCTCCCATCTGCCTCTGTACCTGGAAGTGCATGCTAAAACAAAACCAAACCCAAACAAAACCATTCCTTTATGCTAGGAAACTTGGCATAAAAATTAGCACCAAACTTGCCTATTTCAAAAGCACAATACTGGCTAAGATCTTCTGTATTAGAACCACTACTGGATTATTAATATTCTTAATAGTTTAAAAACTGATTTGCCATTAACACGAAGACCGTTATGTGCATACAAGTTTGTCTCTTTTTAAGACCTCCTTCCCTTAATCAGAGCAGCCTCTATCTGCAGCATTCAACTTAAAAACTATCAACTTTCAAAGGGGCAAAAGCAACTTCACCTGAATGCTAAAAAATAGTCACAGTTTTGGGGTATTACATCTGCACTCATCTATATGTACAGAACTGATAAAATCAGGATGGTAGCCCCACATCTGAAAAAAAAAGTCTAGTCTTTATTATAGAACATAAATTCACTACTATTGTATTTTGCAAAAAGGAAACAAAATAATAGTCTTTTCAACAACAAAATATCAGATATAATAAGAATACAATCTTGGATTATCTGTGTGGTGATACTATTTGGTTGATCTCCTCAAACATGTGAGGAGCAGGCTGCCCAGAACAACATTTACATAGCTTTTTTCTTGTCCTTTATGTGCCTGAAAACAGTTTCCAGGATGAGCTGCTCTATCATTTTTCCAAGGAAAAGCATTCCTTAGAAGTGCTTTCTATGTGTATTATTTCTGCAACCCCAAACTAGTTTCAGCATGCAACAAAGAAAATAAGACTCACCTCAACTATACTAATCATATGAGGAAGAAGGCGATCCATGCGAACTTCCAGCAACATTACCAGAGCACGGCAAACATTTTTGCGTACTTCAGGCTCCTCATCAGTAGCCAGTGCAAAAAGATTCTATTGGAAAGCATTATCATTTTATAAGTCTCAATTCACTTAGTTCATCTTGCATTTAAATTTACATTACTGGCAAACTAATGTATACAAATATATAACTGTCACCATCCATTCCCACACCTGAGAATACTTCTTACAGATGTTTAAAGCAAATCATATTTTTAGATTCCCAGTGCACATAACACATGTGACAAAACATTGGGTAATGGTAGATAGTGGCAGAAGAACATTGTCTCCTGGCTTTTTCTTTTCCTAAAAGTTCTAAAGCCATGCTTCAAGATGCAACAGTTGCACATCAAATACTTCAGATAAACTGAACTATCACCACTCTAGTTCACGTTCAGTACTAATACCTAAAGCCACAGATTACCCAGACAGACTAAATGACAGGATGATACCATTGCTGAACTCGGCGTCACAGGTAGTGACAGACTGATGTCATTATCACTGCATCTTTATATGAATACATTTCCTCCACTTACAAAAAGGAAATATTAATTTTGAACACAAGCATGCAAAATAAACTTGAACGCAAAGGGTGGATATAAAACTAAGAATAGGAAGCCCAAAGTAACTGCAGCTAGAGGCAGAGATAGTTATAAAACATTATCTTAAACTCTTGATAGGTAAGACATGCAATATGACTTAATCTTGCTTCTCCCAAAAAAGAATGCTCACTCACCTCAATAAAAGCATCTATGTGCATCATAAGAGCTTGAGTTCTACTGATGATAAATTGATTGACACATGCAACAGCGTGAGATCTAGAAACAGAGCAGTTAGAATATACATTTTCTGTCACTTAAAGACATTTTCTAAACTGTACATAGATATAAAAAATCATTCAGAATCCAACCACACAATGAAAGATCACCTGGAGGCAAGACTGATAAGGACACAGTACACCAGGTGTGGCCTCACCAATGCTGAGTAGAAAGGAAGGATCATACCTCTTACGTGCTGGTAGTACTTTGACTAATGCAGCCCATAACACCACTTACCTTCTTTGCAGGAAGGGAACATTGCTGGCTCATTTCAGGGTAAATGCCACTGTTTTTGTTGATAAACAATAGCAGTAGCAAGGAAATTCTGGCAACCACCTATGTCATATTTTTTTGCTATTTATAACAGTTTAATACAGCATTCAGGTGAAAAGATGAACTCCTTTGATGGAATTACAGAATCATAGGGGTTAGAAGGGACCTCTGGACATAACATGGTCCAACCTCCAATTTAATTTGGTTGTGTTAAAAGGCACAGTTTTCTAAGTTTTTTTGTTTTTTTAATGATCCTGAACAAACAAATGTAAGGAGGCACAGATCCAATGCACCAGTAACCATCATGCTGACCTACCCCGCAATAGATCAACCCTCTTCGCTCCCTTATACATCTTTCAAATCTACCATCAGTGTATGATATTCCACAACAAAGTCACTTTGAAGATTATGAAAATTTAATGTGGTGGTTTAGAGCTTGATACACTTAGCTTTTTAAAATCAGAGTAATTTAAACAGATCGATAAAACATCGATCTTTCTGCTCATGTAAATAATATTTTAACAAGGATCTGCAGTACAACATTCAAACCTACCTTATTTTTGGACTGCTGTGCTTGAAGAACTGTAAGAATTTAGGTATCATTATATTGAGTGGTCGATCTAATACATCACTATCTAAAATTTCAGCAGAATCTTCACATATCTTCTGAAGAGCGCCAAATGCACCCTGTTTAAAAAACAAGCCATACACTTGCTGTTTCACATTCTGTAGAAAGCAACATTTCAGAATATACAATTTCAGCACAGTACAGTAATTGTAGTAAGCTAACCTTGAAGAAAAATTAAAACATACTTATAAGCCTTTTATTTAATATTTTACACCTTAATCTGCAAGATGTCAAGATGGTCAAATGGCTGATAAGTGCTAGCTTAATTTTAGTTTTCAACGCTCATCTATTCAATTGTATTTTTAAAAATGCTTAAAAGGTAGTTCCTGTTTTTCTTGTGAAAACAGCATCAAAATACTACATAGCAGCATGGCACACCAGACCAGCCTTTTCATCAAAAGGATTATTTTATACAAAATGCTTCACACACTTATCGAGATAGCATCAACTAACTAAATTTATATGTTCATAGATTTTTATTTTTTAAAATCAGACTATACTTTTTTTCCTCCACAGTTTGAAAGTTAGGCTAGTATTCAATTATTTTCCTTCATACACACTGAAAAAAATGTTCACACTAGCCTGAAATGGAATATCAGATCATTTTTCCAGAGGACACTGTATGAACAATGAACAATTTATGCGTTTAAGTAAGAAAATTTGAGGTGATTGTGATGAAGATTGACTTTAACAATTAGGCACCCTAGACAGGACACTTACAGATGTCTTGACAATTCAACGCCACCCTTAATTTTGTCTTTATGGAAAACAAATTCATTCATTCATAAAGAATGCTAACAAGGCATGAAAAATAGAGTAAGTGTCTAATTTGAGACACTGGTATCAGAAGAAACTGTAGATGTATGCACGTACAGGCACAAAATATTGTTAATATACACTATAAAGTATCTATGAAGAGATAAAAATAATCAATTTCAGATGACAATCTGTTTTAGAATAAGTCTTCTTACCTCACAAGTATTGTAGTCCTCTGAATCTAAGAGGCTGCAAAGCTTTGGTAAAAGTTCTGGCCAATTCTGTAATTCTCCTTTTGAAGCAATGGTTGTTATCAGAATACCTAAGTAAAAAATAGAAATGAAGGAAATCAGATCTAATTTTCTAAGGTTTCATACTTATTTTTTCTCTTTTGTCCTCTTCTAGAAGAACAAAGGAATTAAGAAATAGCAAGCAAGAAAAGAAATACATATAATTATAAATAGTATTTGAAAGGCTTTGAAATGCAAAGGATAGTTGTGCCTTGCTCACACAACAAAGGGCTCAAGATGTGAGAGGAGGTCCAATTAAGGAAACAATCATGCCCGAACACTAAGATTGGCTTGGCTGTTTTATAGCCAATGAATATAAAGATGTTATAATTATGAAATAAACAAGAGAGTTTGGCAAAGCAGATTTTAATAACAAAAAGAGAGTAGATAGACAGCTTATCCGCATCCTGGGCTCACTGCAAAACTCCAGAGGAGGGATCTGCAGAAGAGATCCTTTCCCACTGGTAGCCAGCTCTTAAATGGGTTTAGGAGAGATGGAGCCAGGCTCCACTCCTTCTGGCAGCACAGGTGAATTGCCTTCACCTGTGCTCCTGTGGCTGACTCAGTGCTCGCCTCAGGTGCTCAGAGGTTCAGGCCGTGACTCAGCAGTTCCCATACAACTGTAAATTTACTAAACACAGTATGCTCATAAGACACCTCTTATTATGTTGTAAAAGCACGAACGCAGGAAGTTCATCAGATTTGTTGTCATTCAATAAACTTAAAATCCAGTAGTGAAGCTGAGAACACACAACTTAAGCACGTTTACACCAAAATTGTGGAAACATGCTAGAACTAAAATATTTAGTAAAAGCTTGCACACTATGGCAGGTCATCCCCTGATCAGCACTAGAGGTTGGCTGATTCAGATCCAGCAAGCAAATGAGACAGCCCAATTAGTCACTAATTCCATTTCCAGCACACACAGAAAACTCAGAAAAAAAACTGAATTAGGAGAAAGGAAAACAGAAAGCTCCCTAGGTACTGTCTTTGTGCAAGACAAAATGAAACCGGTAGCATAATTTTCACTGACACAGACATTTATCTCTAGTAAGTACAAGCACTAAAGAATGTGGTATTACTACAACTAACAGTCTTCCAAGTGAGAAGTTCTCCTTTCCTAAGCACTTCAATTGAAGTAATCACCATATACCATCTTCCTTTGGGTAAAATGTTACAATTCTTATTCAATAGACAAGAACGTAGGTCAATTTTACAGAGCAAAAGATATTCTGGGAAGGAAGAAATTTTTCATCATGCTTCCATGGATGCAATAAGACTGGAAAAACTAAGAAGGCAACAGGCAAATAAGAATCATGAGAAGTAAAAAACAACTACACAACTCACAATACTCATTTATATACAACTTTTTTTCATAACTGTAGCTGAAGAGAAAAGATTCCTGTAAATCTGCACATGGACCCCTGGGTCCACCCAGCCCAACTCCTGCCCATGCAGTAACACCCAGAGCAGGATGGCCATACCCAGGGAGCATCTAAGATCTCCAAGTAGGAGATTCCACAGCCTCTCTGGGAGACCGGAGTCACTGCTCTGTCACTAGCACAATAAAGAAGTTTCCAGATCAGATCAGATCAGGAGGAACTACCAGTGTTCCAGATTGTAGCCACCTCCCCTTGTCCTAGCACTGGGCATCACACAAAAGAGCCTCTTTGCATTCTCAGCTACTTATACACATTGATGATATTCCTCCTGTGCCTCCTCTTCTCCAGGCTGATCAGTCTTTTCCCTTTCCTCCAGCCCTTTAATCCTCTTGTCCTTTTGTTGGACTGTACTCAGTACGTCCAGGTCTGCCTTGTTCTAGAGGGTACAGAGCTACACACAGCACTCCAGGCACTAGATAGAGGGGGAAGGATCACCTTCCTCCACTCGCTGGCGATGCTTTGACTAATGCAGCACAAGATACTACTAGCCTTCTTTTCTGCATGGTCAACTTGCTGACTCATGTAGTTAAACTGAACCTCACAAAAAGAACAAAATACATCAATGCTCTTGAACTCAGAGAAAGTACTTACATTGCAAAACTGTCTCCCTACATTAGAACTGGCACAGATTAGTAGAATTAACATGGGTTCAGAAGCATATATACAAACAAAATTCCTGGAACTCCATTGGACCAACAAGAGAGAAAAGTCACACGTCAAGCCTTAAACGGGTTGGTAGTTTTGGAAAGGTCCTAGAAGCACTTTCAGAGGGCAAGCAAATGGAAAACTATAAGCATTTTTCAAAAAGGCTTATTCCAGACAGGGATAACTTCAGAGGAAATACTTTGAGACATGCAGGAAAGAAGCAACTTAAGGCCACTGCTCCATACAACAGGGGCACACATAGTTCAGACCATATGTGTCATTAAGAGCTTTCTGAACGGGTCTGCAGAGAAGCCATTCAATGTTGTGTCAGTTTGGTTTTGGTTTTCCTTTTTTAAATTATGAAACTAGTGGGGACAAACTAAAAAACAGGCTATCAAGTAGTTGAAGAGGCAAAGACTATATAACATTTGAAGTTTTGCAGAAGGTTATAAGAATAATGAGGAAGCAGGCATAAGAATTCAGTTCTAGATAATTATGCTCATATTACACAAAATCCACATGGACTTCTGATGCATTTTATCTCCTTTCCAACGTGAAACTTCTCCTGCTCCTCCTGCTTTATTTGTCCATCAGGGAACAGAGGACACCAGACATTAGCCTTTGATGCTAAGTCACAGAAATGTGGACACCAGATGAATAACCAAATTAAATAAACACTCAGCTTAGCAGTTTCTGACTTCTGATGTATTTGAGCAGGAGCTGATAGCTAAGGGAACCCTTTCTTTTCACCAACAACCTAAGCAGCAAGGTTAGAAATCTGAAAGTAAAAATCTTTACAAATACGTTCTTTGATGTCTAACGAAATTCAAATCAGTAACACAGAATCTTTTGCTATGTCATTTGACAAATGGTAAACCTACCAAACAGTTATTCAGCTAGGAGAGCACCAAGCATGTGAGAAATTCCAGAGGAATGTCAGAAACTGTTAAAAACGTGTCATTGTCACCTCTTTCCTCACTATTTCAATTACAGGCAACCCTACTTTATAGCATCAACACTAAAATTAAAAAAAAAAAAAAAACCCACAAAGAAAAAGAGCTCCATACTTTAAGCTCCATACTTTAAGCTCCATACTTTAACGAAAGCAGCAGGGAAAGGCTGAATTCTTTTTTGCTTTATTTTGGGTAGTACTTTGACTCTGTAGCTCTTAAAATTTTATTTCTAAAATCCTTAATCTAAAAAGCTAATTTTATGGCAAAATCACAGCTCTGATAACAACCATTTGCCTTCATTTCCCTTCTGCAGTGAAGCTTCTTCAGTCCTGCCACTACTCTCATCAATCTATTTTGCCTGTTGACTTTTAAGCAGGGCCTGCCCAAACTAGAATCTCTGTGAAGATTTAAGAACTGTCATAAGCATCCCCAAAACAGATGCACTCATTTCCTAGCAAGTTTGTGAATCCTCAACACATGTAGCTCTCACTTTAAAATTTGAGTCCACACTAGCATGAGTTTTGAAAACCTGTGCAACATCACACAGAGAAGTTTCACATCATTACTCATTTATGGCTTAAGAACAGGGAAATGGTAAACAGTGAAACTGATCAGCTTGCCTCCATCTTGGTCATAAGGTGTTAGCTTTTGTCTAGATAGCACTAGATGTGAGAGACCACAAAAGGAGTGAAGGCCACATTACTTCTTCTCTGATGCTATTTCAGTGCTGCTGTATTTGCTTGTCGTCCTCACAGAATTCCAGAGATCCTATTTATGGGTGATCCATTAAATTAACTGTGCCTGAACAGCAAAAACCAGTATGCATCTGACTAGAAAATGCCAAGCAATGTGATAGGTAGTAAAACATTTACATGTAGGTGACACCAAGACACTGGTGGGTACTAGACAGAAGTCAGGAGGATCCAACATTTATTCCATGTGGGAATGCACACAGCAGGCAGTATATAGGAATCCTTATGTAAGCATGCAGTTCAACAGTTGATGCACATCTTCTGAGTTTGTATATGTCAGAATACTCCCTGCAAGGATCACTTTTTAAAGTTCAATCGTAATTAGACAACCCACAAACAATTCCTACCAGAAGAAATCAAATAAGAATAGCTTGAAAACAAATAACTCCACAAAAAAAAGCCCCCAAACCCAAAACAAACAAAAAACTAACAGTAACCACCAAATCACCAAACAACCCTAAGACAGCAATCCAAATGTGCTAGGATATTTTCCTTGGTCAATTCCACTGTACAATTCCACTAACAACTCCTCTGAACTGACAAATAGGACTCCTACAATCAGAAAGTACAAAAATATCTGCAGACTTTTTCTACAGCTACTAAAGAAATTAGGCAATATTAATATCTAGTACAGTAGCTTCTAAAGTTATGAGACAGCCAAAAAAAAAAAACAACCTAAGAGATGGGTGTTTTTCAATAATCCAAAGTAAATAATCCAGATGTCCAAAGAAGCAATCCTACATAGAATCAAATGCAAAGAAAGAGTTCTGTAGGAGCAACTGATCAATTATTTTGCACGTTGAGCCAGCAGAAGTCAGGTGACATGAATGCAATTTTTTTTTTTTTTTTTTTCTAAACTGGAGCCCTCATCTGTTTTTCCCTTTTGTAACCAAGTACGACACTATCGCTTATTCTACCTTTTTTTCCTACTTTTCAGAGAGGAAGAGATAATTACAGCAATCATTTTACTAATTAGTAAAAATAATATTCTCAGCGAACAGGCAGAAAAGCAACTCTACCTGGAAGTAAACAACAACGAGGCAGAAGTGCACTTTTTACATTGGAAGTACACTAGAACTGCTAGGAATTCAAAAATTTATGTAGCAAAAAAATAGGAAAAAAACCAAACAAACTTAAACATACTCTTTTAGCTGATATTCTGATCCGCTTAATTTATGTACTGTTTTCTGACAGATGTTTAAAAGAAAAAACTCTTTATCTGAATGCATATCATACACAGTACAGTAATTTTAACCACTCCCCTAACAGTGTGTGCATGTGCGTATGTGGACTTGGGAGAGGGAGAAGGAAAGCATCTGACAGCAATGTTTCACTGATGCAAGTGAAATCCTGAAATAATTCTGCAGTCAAACTCTTACCCTATTCATCTTTTCAAGTACAAAAACTGGCAAGAAGTAGAGTTTAAAAACGTAGAGTTTTAGTAGAGACAAGAAAACTTAGTTATATTCCTCTAGACATGAACCAAATTGATAAATCAACTTAACAGGAAGCAAAAATTACTTTCATATACTGAAAATGAACATCAGCATCAGAATACTGTGAAACTGCAACAATTATCAGAAGCAAATAGCTTCAGGAGTTTAATAACTCTTTAGTTCACTAGTGAAGCTCCAATTCAGACATTCTATATATTGAAAATGTTACTGATATCAACAACGGCAAACTTACCTACAGTAGCTCTAATTAAGGGAGAGGAATCACCAATGTTGTTCAGACATTCACTTTTGATGAAGTCAGTTACTCCATTTGGGAAGTTGTGAAAATGTGCTTTTACATTATTCTTCAAGATGAGACCACTCAAGGAACGTGTTGGTTCATCTGCAACAGAAAGTAAATTCCATTCAAACTTTGATTTGTTTGTTGGATAAGGTAGATTTGCACAGCAATGAAACAAAAATAAAACTTATAGCTATATATAGCTATAGATATTAACCTTTATTTCCTTATGTCTCCCACCAACTTGCCAATTATGTAACAAAGCTTTTTAGGATCAGAATTCAGTATTTCAGATTATTCAACATTGAAATATCAGTATTGCCTAGTCAACATATTCAAGCTTTCTATAGACAAGGAATACATCTTAATTTGCAAGATATAAGAGACTCATGCAACAAACTGGTTAACTGAAGACATTCAAATATTTTGATTATACTGACAGGCTTGTTGTAATACTGTTACTGTAAACGTTGATGACAACCCAGCTTTCATCAAAATAAAGCCAACACATCATGTAGGCACTGTGCAGCACGTTCTCTGACCTCTAATTTGGGCAATAACAGCTTGCACAAGATCTATTTCAAGCTTTCAAAACTATTAATATCCAAACAGAAGTAATGCTAAGCAAAATAAGAGATGCATCTTTCAAAAATAAGGTATTTCAATACTGAAGTTACTGCATCACAAATACTAGGACTCACAGTACACCCACAGTGTCTGACTGACTGCCAGTAGAAAAGTAATCTATTGTGATCTAGGCTAGTTAAAATAAAAGCAGTACTCAGAAAAAAGGGTTTTGTTCAGAAATTGAAGTTCATTTTAACCAGCTGACTTTATCTGAGCTCCAAAACCAGAAAGCCATCACATACTCTTTAACCTACTTTCTACATTCATATTTTCTTAAAGAAACATTGTTTTTCACATTCCATAACTATAAACATAGTCATTTACAAGCACAGCTTTTACAGAAAGTTGAATACCAAAAAAGTATGTAAACCAAGAAGCAATGTTCTACATGCATACTTGAAACAATTCTGTAACTTCATCCATAGTATGTTTTTTAAATACCTATCAACCTCTAAACAATGCAAAAATAAACACTGTTTCACTGTATTTCAAGGGCCAACAGATTTTCTGGAAGACTGGGAAAAAAAGGGGTTAAAAGGGGTTATTATTTTAAATTAAACTGCTAGAGACTGGATGAACAGACAGACTTTTAACAATCACAGAACTTGCTTATGAGTTGTGGCAAACAGTAGTAACAGTATAAAACAGTATAAAATTGAATAATTTCATTATTTTGTTCAATGTTTTGAAGTTACCATCACTGAGGTTCTGATGGAGAGTGACCAAATGAAGGAAGTTCTCACTTGAACGCTTGATCAATCTCAGGTTTGATTCACTGAACTAGAAGGAAAATAACTACATCTACTATTACATCAATTTAATATGTCAAACTGATTGCTTTACATAACTAATCCATTGATAACACATCTGCAAAAATCCAATTCTCCAAAAGTGATTAAAAGGTCTAAATAGAATACTAAACTACTTTCCATAAAGAGTACTTATTCAGTCCACCTGCAACAAAGATCTCCGTGGATTCATACTGAAATTTACGTTGCTGTCAAATGACAGAATTCAAGAAGCAACAGAAAGGAGGAAGATTAAAAACAAAAAGCCAAACGAATCACCACCTTGGTGAAGTATTGAGCAGAGATCATGAATATAGGCTAAAGAGAACTGCTGATTAGACTCAAACTACGTGAGTTAAAGAAGCAGCACAGAATCTGATACTCAGGCATTTCTAAAACCACGCCATGGTCAGAATCTGAGTTTGAGAATCTGAGTATTACATGACTGCAGAAAGATATTTGTGGAATCCAGAGTGTTTAACAGCTTAACAGCAACATTATCAGAAAACAGTAATATAGATCTAGATGGAGTTTTTTTTCCTGTAACACTGCTATTACAGGCAGATGGCCTAAGAGCTGAATAAGACACTCCTTAGTCTTCTGAGATTCTGTGATAAGTTCTGTCAGCCATATGTTTCAGCCATCAAAAAAGATCACAGTCTTGCCTCCTTCTATCTTAGTCAACCTTCAAGTATAGAATTGATGAGAACATATAGTACAAGAAAAAAGAATGCACAAGAAAAAAAGGAAAGTGAAGCAGTCTTCTGGCATTTGATAGCATCTTTGGTGCCAAATAAATCAATCAGTGGAAGAATCCCCCTCTCACCACACGTTGCTTTACAATAAAACTGTATCAAATCAAACATCATGCGATCCTCAGTAGATTTTCAGCTTTGTTTAAAGGCCTTAGCACTAGTTCAAGGTTTTAATGTCTCACAGAATTGATGCGTATCTGCTAATTTTAAGACTACAACTGTGTTTTTAAGAACTACAGTGCATTTTCAAACTGCCCTACCTCCTCTAATCACAGCCTGTATGATGTAAGTACATATGTGAAATATTTACAGAAGGCATGGGTGCCACAATGTTAGGTTAGAATCCTACTTGAGTGAAAAAGATGTCATGCAGCTAAGCATCAGTAGATATTTATTTCACCCATTGTAAGAGTAAGAGCTGAAAAATGGTGTCTCCTGTTCATGAGGGTAGGTGCCGTAAGACACCATGACCTCTTGGCAGACTGTCAGCAGGCAGACTTGCTGTTAAACATGACAATGATGTCAGAACAGTTTCAGTGTGTTACCCTGTAGTGATGAAACAAGTGCAATTGATTAGCTCACCACCTTCATGAAGCCAAATCCAGCCTTATTGAAAAGGAATTACTTCTCTTGCTCCACTTGCAATAGTTGTGTGCAAATAAGAATGTCTTTCCCTTAGCACTAAGTAGGAGTTTAACCTAGGAAAAACTGCCTCCAATAACAGTATCCACAGTATTTTTCCTCCTCTGCTGCTCCCTGCAGCTCCCTAAGGATGGGAATAGAACAGAATCACTCAGGTTGGAAAAGGCCTTAAAGATCATCAAGTCCAACCACAACCTAACCATACTACCCTAACTCTAACAACCGTCCGCTAAATCATGTCCCTGAGCACCACATCCAAATGGTTTTTAAACACATCCAGGGATGGTGACTCAACCACCTCCCTGGGGAGCCTATTCCAGTGCTTAACAACCCTTTCTGCAATGAAGTGTTTCCTGATATCCAACCAAATCTTACCCTGGTGCAACTTGAGGCCATTTCCCCTTGTCCTGTCACCTGTCACCAGTGAGAAGAGACTTCGCTCATGCTGTAAGCACCTTTCAGATACTGGAAGAGAGCAGTAAGGTCTCCCTTACTATTGGGAAGCAGCAGTGGTGCCAGGTTCTGCTCCTGTGAACTGATGGCAAAAGGGAACGGCACAGAGCTGCCAGGGGGACAGTCAGGCTGGGCACTGGGAAATATTTCCGAGCTGCAAAGATGCAGGCTTCTTAGTGAGGTGGCTGATGCTCCATGCCTGTCAGTTCGTGTCAAAATTGATTATCTCTGTTGTTTCATTCCAACTGTTCTATTCTAAATGGCAGGCACCCAAATTTTCCCTTTTTTCCTTCCTTCCCAGTGAAAGGCAACTGATAAAGTCTGAGGTAGAAACTGAAAACAGATTGAAGATGGATTTCAAATGACGTTAAAAACAAAAATCAGCAGAGATACATACCAAAGCTTCTTAGATAGTCTTATTTTCACTAGTATTCTAAGTAGCAGAGGATTGATCCTTTGCTCATAGAAAGAGGTCTCATGAAGTAAATGTAAGGAAAAAATAAAAAATATATTTCTAAAAATAATTTAAAAAAATAGTATGTATGAGTATTAATTTATAGCATGTAGCTACTCTCTAGTTTCTTATTTCAGGTACACCTCCACTAGTGCCAAAATTCTATCTTGCCATTTCCCAGAATGCAACCTAATACACCTAACCAAAGAAACAACTTTTATTAAGCTATATGTACAGGATGTCAGCAGCAGAAGTAGGGAAAACTTCCAGTGGACAGCAACCTACACAACACCAGTGGAGGCGAGAGTCATTTATTCTGTACTCCCCAACACTCACTGAGTAGTCTGAACAGTATTCTGAATTACTCAAATTGATGACAAGGCCTCAATTCACTTATCCAATCAATCCCTGTGTTCCAACAGCTATTAGCGTGACGGATTGTCTCATTTTAAAGTTCATTTTAAAATACAACATTCACCTTCAATTTATTCAGAGTGAACAAACTTCCATTCATCTAACCAAGTCATTTCTTCAGAGAGATTCACTGCTTCTGAATTCGTTCACTGCCAAACAGGTAGCTGCCACCACAGCCTGTCATTTCCTTCCCCAAAACACCAAGGTACTTCCCTGTCATTTCTGTTTACGCAGAAACCAGAGGATGATGCTCTATTAAGCATGAGTGTCCAAACTTTCAGTTTGCCTGGATTGCACTGAGTGAAGGGGGATTATCTTGGGTGCATATATAATATAGTTGACGTATTAGTAACAAAGCTGCTTTTTTTTTTTTTTTTACATAAAAAAAAACAAACAACAAAACTTGCTTTTGTGAAACTAATGAATCAGTATCTGCTTCAATTGGCAGTGGACTCAATTCTCAGTGAGTTCGCAAGGTTAGGGATATGGATTATCAGAGATTTTTGATCTAATCTTACTCTTTCTGTGTTTCATACTTGACAGTAGCTGTTCACAAATGTACACATCACCAAGAAGTGCTGACACGAATAAGGTGTGTTTGTGAAGTAAAGGATATTTCTCTCTGGTAAGATAGGTCCCATAAAAATATAGCAAAGAGACTTAATCAAATTGTTCTCTGAGTTGAATGTTTGATTGCAGCACTTTTTCTGTGCCAACATGTGTACACCACAGATGTTGAAGTCACTCTTCTAAGAATTTTGTTTTAAAATTGCCATGCAGCATATGACACGTTATTAGTAGATGATACTCTATCAATCTGCATTTAAGTTTTATTAATCAGGTTTTGTTTTGCAATTTTATATTTGCTACTTCCTTGACAACTTATAAAGCCTGGGCTACATGCGAATGTTTTGAAATTACATCCAATTTTTAAATATATGTCAATTCTAATGTTTTGAAATACAGGCT